AGCGTATAGGGGGAATTGTTTAACTAGGATGTGGCAACATTCGGTTGCGTCAGCTGGTGGGGGCTCATGGACAACCTCAGGAGTCTGACACTTGATAAAGTTAACAGTTCTTACCTTTTGGAATTGAATGGTGAGACGGTGTTGTCGCCAAAACTGTATTTGGTTCATGACAAAACCAGGCCAAGGTTCAAATATTACAATGGTAATCATAATGGGATGGGGGGTATCCACTGGCCTGACTCACAAAGGAATAAGAATGCAGACACTAGGCTGAATATCATAGCCAATAAAGTAAACCATTTGATCGATATAAGGGTACATATATCCAAGACCAAACCCAGTGCCCTCCAGGAATACAAGGAGACCGCTACACATGAACCATGTGGCGATCAACAAAGTTAAGAAGAAAATTTAGGAAATCAAGACATAGGTTAGGACAAATGATGAGCAGGACAGGAGGATGTATGCCAGATCCAGTAATCAAGGAAAGTCAGTGTATAGAAGGGCTGAAAAAAAAATGTTCCAGAGGCAGATTGCGAGTGAGGTCAAGTCACACCCAAGGGCATTTTACTGCTATACAAAGTCAAAATAAAAAATGCGAGCAACTGTTTAGGACCTGAGGCTTGAAGATGGTAGTTACGCTGATTCTGACCAGGGCAAGGCAAAGGCGTTGAATAGTTTCAATTCCTCGGTGTTTACGAGAGGATGCAAACAATCTTCCTGCGTTGGAGGACAGACAGTTCGACACAGCGCTGACCCACATTGTGTTCTCAAAAGTGGTTATAAGAAATAAATTGTCAAAGCTAAAGGTTCATAAGAGTCCCAGTCCTGACATGGTGCATCCCAGAATGAGTGCTAAGAGAATTGTGCAACGAGCTTGTTGAGCCCGAAGATCCTTTTCTGTAGACGCCTGGATGAGCAAAAGGTCCCCAGTGGTTGGAAAATGGCCTTTGTGAGTCCCATTTTTTGAGAATAACTATAGCCCAGTGAGCCTGACCAGCACAGTATGTAAATTTTAAATGATGCCATGATGGAACATCTACTGAGAAGCAACCTTGTAAAGGATTGCCAGCACAGTTTTATGGCGGGACCTTCCTGTTTAACACAATTTCTCAAGGTATTGGATGTTCGGACCAAAATTCTGGAACAGGGTGGCAATATCGACAATATATACCTAAATTTTGCCAAGGCTGAAAATTAAACTGGAAGGCTACAGGATTTAAGCAAGTGTCCTAGCATTGATCGAAGACTTTCGGCATGATCACAAAGAGTGTGTGGTGATTAATGGTACAAAATCGTCATGTGTACCCGTGACAAGCGGGGTACCACAGGGCAGTGTATTGGGCCCTTTTTTGTTTGTTTGTTTCATAAATGACATACCAGAAGCTATACACTCCTCCACACAATTGTTTGCAGATGATGCCAAGTGATTAAGGAAAACAAGAATCAAACTGACTGTGAATAGCTGCAAAAAATCTCTGTGAGCTTCAATAATGGTCGAAGAAATGTCTGCTAAGATTCAATGTCACAAAGTGCAAGAGGATGCACCTGGGACGTACCAACGGTAAGGAGGCGTATCCTGTCCAAGCGGGACGTAGAAACTGCATTGAATGAGACTGAAGTGAAAAGGACCTAGGTGTGTATGTTGACAATGAACTGAAGTTCTCAGGCCATTGTGAGGAGGAGAAAGTGAATGAAGCAACTAAATTATTAAGTCTTATAAGAAGGTCGTTTAGATATCTAGACGGTCAGTCCCTCGTAACAATCTTCAAGAGTAAGGTGTTTCCCCGCCTGGAATACCGTCACCCCGTCTGGTCCCTGAAATATGCTATGGATTGAAAATGTCCAAAGGAGAGCCACCAGACTGGTGCCTGCATTTCGGCACCTTGGCTATCCAGAGAGATTAGACGGGCAAGGGGGGTCCTAATTGAGGTGTATAAACATCTCAAAGGGCACTACTCAGTCGAGTGTCCATACCTGGAGCTGGCGGACGCTCGCCCCACAAGGGGTCACAGCTCAAGGTTGAAGAAGCTGCAAGTCCAGAAAACTGTGAGGGCAAACTTTTTTGGAGTGAGAGTTGTGAACTCTTGGAACAACCTGCCAGAGTGTGTTGTGATGACACCAAGTGTGAGCTGTTTCAAGACCAAACTTGACCAGCACTGGAGCAGGTTCAGATACATTCTGGAGCCAGTGCATGCCCAGTACTTGTCAGCAATGCATAACAGAGACCTGACCAACCGCCCAAGCGGCGAGCCAATCAGTGGCGAAGAGGATAAAAGTAAAAGTTAGTAAATAGTAACTCAACTACCCAGCCCTCAACAGCAATTATAAAAAAATCATGTGTATATACAAAAGAAGGGAACTTTTAATTTAGAAAAAATAAAAAATAAAGATCACCCAATTTTATTACATATAACATGTGTGGGAGTGTTATGAACACAATCATAGCTTGAAATTAAAAACAAAAAGATACAATTGTGGGCTGAACATTCATCATCCTTCAATTATTGACTGCAAAAAAGTCTGACACAATTAATTCATAAGGCAAAGATCTCAAACTTGATCTAACAACCTTATTTCAGCGTGCCTATTAGTATATCAGAAGAGAAAATAAAGCAAGAGGTACAAAAAGACAAAACTTTACTACTGTACAAGTTCAATATTGTAATATAATACAGACCTGTTGGAGTGTTATGGTCATGTTCCTATACCTGCTGTGACACACCAGGGTGTGATGATTTTTGTCATCAATTGCATTACACACACACATACAACATCCCCAAATCAATGAACTTGTCCATGGTCTTATTTTGCAATACAGTGATCACATAACAAGTTACACAAAAATCCAATTACATTTCCTGAAATTACACTGTTCATAAAAATACCAAGATGCCCATTTGTATGCACCGGAACAAATGGATTCTATGCATTTCTATATCCTCTGCAGCAGACATGAGGGGAGCAATTACATTTAATTATTTGAACAGTCTTGATACTACAATGTCTCACTACTCAGTTCTCAGTATAATAAGTAACAGTTTAAATATACACACATCAGTTTTTTGTATAAAGAAATATTTATACAGATCCCTCCCCCATTATTAATGTTTCCTAATTTTGTCTAACATATCTTCCATGATCCAATAAGTGCACAGTGAAACAATAGAAGGTACAAAACTGAACTGAAGTTCAATAACCACTTCATCTTACTTTAATTGGCATTGACACAATTCATAATGTTATGTTAAAAAATGTAACAGCATTCAATGTAAGATTTAAAATGTTTACCATTACAATTAACCTGTTACAAAAAAATTAATAAATCTAATATTCAACATTGCTATGTATCATCTTAATGACCTTTAATTCTAGTCCAGATAGGGAGTATTTGCACTACTATTGTGATAAAAATATGAACATTCCTACGTATTCCACAATACAGGTGTTGACCATTATAGGATTTTTTTTTAATTTTTTTTTTACGGGGATTAGCCCACCCAGGCACAGATTACTGACCCACATCGGGGCCTGGGGGGGTGCAAAAATGTAATAGTAGTAGTAATAATAATAATAATAATTCATAGTACTGTACCGGGTAAATAAAAACTATACAGTAATAAAATTACAAAATTAAAAATAAAATAATAAAGATAACAATAATAATAATACAGTAAAAGTCCAAAAATCCGGATGCCAGAAATCCGGACCACCCGAGAATCTGGACTTTCCGAAAACTCAATTTTTTTTTTTAGTGGGCTTTTGTGTGTATGTGCGCATGCGTGAGCGCCACAGCTGCACAGCGACAACAAGCGACCACGTGGTCGCCACTTTAAAACGAGCAATCAAACTGTGACAACATATGTAATTTTGAGTCCTACTCTTTCCATTTACAGAGTACTGTACAACCCATAATAATGGCTCCTAAAGTAGATAAACTTCGATGTGTGAAGAGAAAGAAGAACACGTTGAAATTGAGTGACAAACTTGAAATAATTAAGAAACTAGAACATGGTGTGAGCAATACTGTTCTAATGAAAACATACGACATTGGAAAGTCTACAATTTATGATATAAAAAAAGGCAAAGAATAAAATTCTAGAATTCACAGCTTTTTCTTTAAAACTGCTCGTTTTGATGAATGAAGCATGCTATATTTGCTAATGAATAAACTATCAAAATGTACCTGTTGACCTCTTCTTTATTCCCCCTTAAATTTGAATTTTAAAAGTACTGCCTGAGAATCCGGAAAATCCGAACCGACCCAATCCCCAAGCAGTCCGGATTTTTGGACTTCTACTGTAATAATAATAAAGAACCATAAATAAATACAAAAATACAAATAAAAATCAAGAGTGAGAAACAATGAATGTATGTTGTGTTGTCAAAGTAAGAGAAACAAATGAGACCCTGCAATTGTGTGTAAATGAGGCAGAAAGTCAGATCAGCAACCTGGGTCACAATTTTTGTGATGCCATATGGCAGCAGGGTCTACCATTAAGACAACACATTATGCTTACAATATCTTCCCAGGCGGTAGTACCTCCCTGTTGATAGCTGCCTACTAACTACTACGTAGTGATCGATCATATGTCGACATTAACAAATAAGGGGAAAAATAGGTTCCATTCCTGAGACCCTGAAGAACCAGAGTTAGCACTCAGCAGCTATTTTTTAACTCGTAATTTCAGGTAGACGTACGCAATTTTCTTCATTTTGTTTTTACTCTGTTACATGCACACATAATCTTCCATAGAGAATGTAAAAAAATTATTATAAGGTCAAAAACAAAGGGAATAAACATTTCTCATGTGCACCAGAGTTACTACAGAGTGGGAGTAGAAATAAACAATTATCATGAGGTTCAAAAACATAGAGGGAATAAACAATTCTTACATGCATGGGAGCTAGTGCAGAGAGACAGGGAGGGGGTGCAGAGTGGGGTATCTCGGCTCACTTTACCGTGATACGATTACCAAATGGCAATGCAATATTTTTTCTTTTATTTATTTATTCCTCACATATACTTGAACAGAATATATTAATTTCCGTACAAAGAATAACTTCCACACACACACCATCCTCTGGGTGACACACCACAGTTCAGCTTTGCAGTCACTGAGGATGGGCAGAGCCATGCACATGTTATGCCATTCTGAGATTGTATCATCATATCTTGGAATATTGCATGTTATTGCACATGACTTTTTCATAGCAGTGACAATACAGGAAAAGCATTCAGGTAGTGACCACCGTAAAACTGATCTTAGCCGTTGCAAAGTGGTAAATGGTATTAATTTTCTAACATTGTAAAACTGATCCATCACATAAGCATCAACACCTGTATTTAACCATCCAGAATGATGTTCAGCACAAAAATCTAATCTGAATCGGAGCCTGAGCCTGAATCTGTTGAATCTGTATCAGAACCAGAGTCAGAGCCAGAGGCATAACCAGAAGCTTTGCTGCGTGCAGGAGAACCATTGACAGCAGGAGAACCGCTTCGGCTCCTCTGACTCGATCTTGGTGATCTGGCTGACCGTGCTGATTTTGCAGAGTGTGCTGACCTGCTTGAAGCTGCTGACTTTGCAGATCTGAAAATAAATGTAAATAAGTAAAATCTCTTCCCAAAAGAGAAATAAGATCTGGAAATCCCTCATCAGATCACAAACTCTAATATGGCACCCTTCTTCATTGCTATCTCAAAGTCCAAAAAACTAACACAACTTAACTTGCAACATGATATGGTTCTACTTTTTGATCCTGTACTGTATAGAACAGTACTGTACTGCAATATATACTCAGGCGTCTGGTTGAAATAGAGTTCAATAAGAAGCTCTTCACTTTAAATCTTCCAGCGTGAAAACCTATACGTTCATAAAACTTTTCCTTTACAGTACCTCCTTTATCTTAAATAGAATTAATTCTGGAATAAATATTTTCTTTAAATCATAACTTAAATCATTTGAAACTAATGTCAAAATACCCCCTGTACACCAAATCATCCAGAAAATTATAATTACCCCGTACTGTATTATCTTTTCCTCTCTCCCTGTTTTGCAGAAAATTGATCAAGAAAATAGAAACCTTAAAATATGGATATAGTGCAAAAGAACAGTGCAATAAAAGTGTTCAAAATAACACTACAAATTGTCAACCATATATACTGTATATACACGCACAGTATACTGTATATAAGTCATGTGCACTATCATGGAATAGTGTTGAGGCACTTCACCTCTTTTAATTTGGTGCAGCAAAAAAACATCAAAACAATCAACAATAATTACTTTTATCAAAAAATTTCCAGCATTACACATATTCAACACATAATGTACTTCCACCGTCAGTATTCTGACACACACCCTCAACCAGCCTATGGGCACATCGGGGGTGGGGGGGGGTTCTGTTGAAATTCCATTCTGTTAAAACCTGTACTTGCCGGTACTAAAATTAATTTTTATCCCAAACTAATACTCTGTGGAACTCATTAACTCAACTGTGTTTTTCTTATGTCATACAAAGTGTACGGAAAAAAGTGATGAAGTGGCCCACCTCCAAAATTCCTTGTTCTGTCATATCATAATATTGTATCCCTTCATCACTTAATCACTTTTCTACCCCAAATCTGCTTTGTTTATAATAGGTGTTTTCCAGGCAAAACACCAGGAGTAAAGTGACAAAGCCACAATATCATCCAGCCACTCAGCGTCCCACCTATGGTCACATGAGGTCACGCTGCCACCCTGTTGCCAGTTGTCCTCAATACACCAGTGAGTATAGTCCAGTACTGTGCTAATAATGCTGTGTTATGTTGCTGTGAGTGTGTGTACACATGTGTTTTATCTTATTTACATGTTTGGGGATGTTGGGATTTTAACTTCATGAAATAAAACCCCTAATCAATAGACAATAATAAATATTTCATACCACACCTGGGTGCATATGGTCAGTTATCAAATTTACTACATTTTACAGATTACAGTTATATAAAAAATACACCCATTGCATGTACAGGAATACCTCGGTTTTTGCAAAGGATGTGTTCCAAAAAATCATTGTGAATAATGAATTTGAGAATATCGGCGCAATTTTCCCGATAAAAATCAATGTACAAGTAATCGCCCTGTTAGTTGGAATTCCCGATCCCTGGAAGTCTCCAATACCTGGAATTGAGATCGACCTGGAGAATTTTCCGGGAAAACTCTTTTCATTCCAGGTCTGCAAATGAGTTTCCATGGATGAAAATCAGGCACAATTTCCAGAAAAATTCAAAGAAAATCTTTCCAAACCTCACTGTTCTGGGCCTGGGAATAAATTTTCCGGAAGCTCCAAGAGATTGCATCATGCTCCAGTGTGCCCCCATGTACCAAGTGTGTAGATGGCCTAGCTGCTTGGATCGCTTACTTCATATTCTGCTGCCACTGTAGAAGGTTGTTCCCTCGCTAGTTGCTGTTTTTGCATATAATTTGTGTTGTGCAACATTGTAAATTACTGTACCAGGACACAATCAGCCAAGAATACATTGTTAAAACGTAAAAACTGATCACAGTTACGCATACGTACTGTACAGGTATCCCTTGAGATATGAACATTCGAGATATGAAAATAAGCTTATACAAATTTCCTGAATTGACACGATCATTTTGTTACAAAACATTTCCCTGCTTATACAAATTTGCATGCCCCCGGGAGTCAGCTGGAGCGGCCACATCCATCTAGCGCTCTCCCTACCAGACTGAAGTAGGAGTTTATGTTACATTCATATTTTTTTTCATTTACTGTAGTTACATGCACACCCAATTCTACATATAGAATGTGAAAAAAAAAGTAATTATCATAAGGTCAAAAACATAAAGGGAAAACAGTTCTTTGTGCACCGGCAAGAGCAGGAGGAGCTGGGGGAGGTATAGTATGATTATTTTTTAACTTATAGTTTCAGATAGATAAACTTAACTTTCTTCACTTTTTTAACTTATTTACATGCACACACAATCCTACATACATAATGTGCACTAAAAGTATATGATAAAAAAATATAAAAGGAATAAACATTTCTTTGTGTGTCAGAGCAGGGAAGGGACAAAGTGGGTGGCAGAGGCGGCCGGGTGGTTGCTATGTTGACGCTTGAGGGCGGTCACTCATGAAGCAGCTAACATCTATGCAAATCATGCAACAGGCGGCTGTGTTAAACTTTGATTTAGCCTTTCCTTATTAGTTTCAGCTGCATATTTTTATCTAGTTAGTATTTTATTAGTTTTTTAATGCATTAAGTAGTATACAGTATTACAGTAGTTGTGTATCATTTATCATTAGTTTGGTACGTTTTTTTCTTCTTTGTGAACCGATTTCATGTTTTTGGGGTATGATATTGGGGTATTTTTGTCATTGGGGAACTGAAACCAAATTTCCCCATATGTTTTTCCATTTGAGATACAAAAATTCACCCAACAAATGTTTTTTTTGAAACCTAACCCATTCATATCTCGAAGGATACCTATACTACTGTACATTCAGTAAGTGGAAAACACTGTCTTTAGGGTTAAAAACATTAACTGTGCTTTTTTTGAAACTATATGAATACATCTTTACCACATTTCTTCTCGACACCTCATATGACCTTCATCATATCATATCATCCTGCTTTAAATATCTTCACTTTACCAAGGAGATGGGTGTCTTGGTGCACAAATTTAGCAAGGACACTTATCTAATCACCTGTGAACACAAAAACATGAAAAAAAAGAAGAAAATCCCCTACATTAAAAGTTAAGCTTTATTCTAACCTTTCTGATCTTGCTGGCGAACCACTCCGGGATCTGCTTCCAGAAGATGAGCGTGAACCAGATCTGGATTTAATAGGAGAACGAGAGCGAGACCGTGAAGCCCTAGAGCCAGATGCAGAGCGGGAACGAGACCTGAAATGAGAAGAAAATTATTATTATTTTCAAAGAAACATGTTCAGTGAACCCAAACGGCATGTACAGTGTGAGAATGAAGTGTCGTCCTGGAATTTTGAGAAATACACCATAGAAAGGTTGAGCAAACTGACACACGCATGTGTGGTACCCATAAACAGTTGGCAGCCTTGGAATAGGGCTGCAGTGACACTACTCACGGTGTTGGGTAGTCAGGTTTCATTATACTTCGGCCAAAGCTGGGTAGATACTTCATTCACTCACTGTGCATTACCCCCCCACCCCAAAAAAAAATAAATACACATGGAGAGGGAAATGTGAAAATCATAGCAAACCAGTAAAATACTGAATGATTATAAAGCTTCATAGCAATTCATCATGTATACTAAGTTTAGCCATCATGCTCCTTCACACAAACATTCCCAAATACTACTTTAATACTCAAAAGATGGATCAAGTTTTCCTCTGTAATTCCTAATTTAATTTTGCTTAACCATTTCATACAATTCAAGCTGTCTCTTTAGTCAAATCCTCTTGGGGCTACTATTATTCAATGTTTCAACCACAATAACCCCTTCACTAAGGGTATGCCACTAATATTTTATTTAGCTAATGCCAGATGATTTTACTCTGAACAGAAGGGACCCCATACACAAGAGGTTAATCATTACTCCCTCACACTTTAACCAAATGAAAAATTTCAACCAAGTATATTCATCAGCAAATGTTTTTCAATGCAAAAATGTGCAGAATAAAGAACTCTGGATAAGATTAGGTTGCCAATTATCAAGACAGTAAATAAAGCAGATCTTCACTTAATATTTGAGCTAACACCAAATGAAAATATCCTGATTAAGCTTCCTGAGATACAGCATTAAGATTGTTATGAAATATCAGTTGTAATAAAGTTTTCCCCATGAAGAATGGCTCGAGTAGCCGAGATCAATAAACTGTGGTTGTTAGCTAAGACCTACGTATATTAGAGAAACTTGTATTTTGAATTTTAAGTGTGGACTGTCAGAGGTGTTCATGCTATTTACTTACCTTGACTTGGACCTACTGCGGGACTTGCTACGAGACTTGCTGCGAGATCTGCTGCGAGACTTGCTGCGAGATCTGCTGCGAGACTTGCTGCGTGATCTGCTGCGAGACTTGCTGCGAGATCTGCTGCGAGACTTGCTGCGAGACTTGCTGCGTGATCTGCTGCGAGATTTACTGCGTGACTTGCTGCGGGATTTGCTGCGAGATCTGCTCCGAGAACCACTGTGAGAGCGACTCCGTGATCGTGAACCTGATCTGCTGCGTGATCGTGAACCTGATCTACTACGAGCACGTTCTTTACTCTCAGATCCTGAACGTGATCGAGATCTCTCGCTGCCTTCATCATCTGATCCTTTAGCACTGCCTGGAAAATAAAAACATATATGAATAATAGAATTGTTCATCTGAAATTGAATTAAACTATTTCATGGCTATAACTCTACCCTACAGACCATGCTTTGGCACTACATGGAAGATATAAGCACCAAAGCAATTTAATTACATGAATACACTGTACTGTTAAGTTGAGTCACACTTCTTTTACTTTACTCTTCTAAACATTATTCTTGTATAGTAGTGACCAGAATCAATAACCATATGGATACCGTCATTCACCGCCTTTGTTTAAGCTACTGATATTAAATATCAATCAACTTTCTATCCTTCCTTACTAATGGGTAGGAACAAGAGCATCACACCTCATAAGAATTACAAAATACCCAAAAATTCTCAACTCCTGCTATGATATATTCTTTTTACTTGCTTATTACATCACACTGTTCCCTTCTTCTTCACTCATCCTTGTCCTCCTCCTCTTCAGCAGCTTTACTATTACAGTCTTTATCTTCACGTACATGTTATTTCTCCATTTAATGTTATGTATTCAAAAAAGTCATTCAACATTACACTGACTGTTTCTTTTTATATTTCATAATTCACCTCAGCACATAAGCTTGGCTTACATTTTCTGTTTCATTCCCTCAACACTTCCTAAGCATCATATTATCACAGGTGTATCACGTCTGCTAATAACAGTAAACCACAGCAGATCACTACACTTTCTGAATAACATAAGCTTGGAATGAATCAAAATATAATCTAGTGAGTGCTTTCATAAACAAGACTTCAAATAAACAGATCTATATACAGTACCTTCTTTTTCATTCTGTTCAACTTCCATCTCTTCCTCCTCCTCTTCTTCCTCTTCTTCTTCCTCTTCTTCATCTTCACCAGGTGGTTCCAGCATCCTCTCTCGGAAGCGCTGGGTTTTGTGTTCCTGAGCAATAAGAGGCCGATGTCGAACAACCAGTCGGGAGTTGTTTGGCTGCTGGCCCTGCTTGAGACGACGCTTGCTCAAACGCACTCTGTTATTAATAAATAAATAAATAAATAAATAAACTGCAGCATAAGTAGGAGTTTCATTTTTCCTTGGGAAAAATTAGCATCTGGTCCCCATCTACTGTATTTGTGAATTAATTATGGCTCATTGGGAGGTCCTCTCTTGAAAGCTTGGGGAGGCGGGCACCACCCACCCCCTAAATGACACCCCTGAACATAAATAGACCCAAAATTATGTTATACATAATGAAATAATAACAAGTGCTCTTAGAGACAGCACACAGCTTTGACATACTTATAAAAAAGTTAAAATGACAAGAATGTGTTGTGTAGTCCAATTCTCTCACCCCGAATTCAATGGTACAGTAGTTATACTGAGATGTCTCCTACTGACTAACCAAAAGTAAAGCATCTTATTAAATCTAACCTTACCCATAAAGTGCCTTGTGAATCCCCTTGAAAACTTTCTGGGTCTGCCATTGGAGAACTGTGTCTAGTGTGTGTGTGTGGATTACCAGATGATAGTTCAAGGTCAAAATGACCTAAATATATCATCTATGGATAAAAGGAATATGCCAAGGACAATAACCGAGTGGAGGACCAAGGTAACCAGATACAGTACAGTATCTGCAATCCAATAATATGAATAAAAAATATAGCTTTCAGGAGGCTATACACATAATTCCACAAAATTTTCTTTAGGAGACTTTGTTAGCATCAGTTTCAATAATATACTAAAATTATTTCATCAACAGAAGACTCACCTTGTTTCTAGCTCATTATAATAGACTCCATCATTACGCAAGACGACAAAGTAGTTTTCTTCGTAACCCTTGGAGGCCTTATTCTTTACATTCCAGTTGTATTCACGAGCCATTATGTAGTCATATTCATCTTCATCCATGTACTCAACACCTTCATCAGAGTCTCTCTTCCTCTTCTTCAGTGTATCATCTGTAGGTAAGAAGTAGGCCACAAACTGCTCTCCTGATTCATCCATCACACCCCTTAAAAGAAAGACAAAAAAAATTTGTGTGATGAGCCAAATTACATCAAATACAAAATACTGTAATATAAAAAATTAACACCAAACCATTTTCAGATATCATAATGTACAAATACCTGTCCAGTACTATACAAAATAACAGAAATAATAATAATGCTTTTATCCTGTATGTCATTTTCCACAATTTAAGGAGTAGTAACCCTCACGTGAAAAGGGCACGCTTAGTCTAAGACTGCCTGGTGATTAGCTCAATACCACAGCGGTATCATAAAAGCATGACCCCATTAATCAACATACTCCTCTGAGAGAGCCTGAATATTTTTCTGCACACAGGAAAGGAAAAAAGTGACAGAATGGAAAGAAAGAATGTACAGTACAGGTAATGCATAATGTGAGAAGAATAACTAACCAATGGAAGAAAGCACGCACAGTTTCCTTGTATAAACAGCATGGAAATGAGAATGAACATTAAAAATTAAGGAACAATAAGTATGTTAAAAATAAGGAAAGTTTGCTTAAAAAAAAGAGCATGCATTAATCAAGTTTGTGGCATTTATGAACCAAGAGAAATAGGGGATTGATTCTGAAATCTTACTATGTTGTTTAGGGGAAGGCTTAACTTAAAATCACCCATTACTCTTAAAAGAGGGAGATTATAAGCAGGATGTCTAATCACACCCAAGCTAGTTACCTATCAAGTACTTTGTGCCATCATTCTTTACTGCCACTTCAGTCTCTTCTTTTGGTTTTCTCAGCCTATTCAATTTCTGCCACAAGTTTCTTGTTCTCTTTAAAATTAAACCAAAACCTTACTTGTCTTTTGCTCTTCTTTTAATATATGTGTGTGTGTGTGTGTGTGTGTGCGTGTGCGTGTGTGTGTGTGTGTGTCCCTTCTTCATCATTGCTTATGTGCAACTGATGCTCACTCACCCCTCTTTCTTCCCTAACTAGCACAGCCAATCTTTCACTGTCATGGTACAGTTACACTGATAATATTTTCATACCCATACTTATTCATATTATGCTCCACTGGGTATAAAACACGTGTGAAAAGAGCAAGTTAACTCTAGAGAGATTTGTTTCTGTATTGCTCCTGTTTTGTAAATTTTAAATTATGATGTAACATGAATGAGTAGTTTTAAGTGATGTATACCTACCAGTAGGTGAAGCATTCAAGATTCAGTATGTATATGTTGAAAGCTTCAACTATATTTAAATGTAGTTAAAATTGTACTCAGATAATGTATATGAATTCCCAGTCAAATCTGTAATAACTGTTTCTGCCTCTTGTCAAGTTACGAGTTATCCATTCAAAACTGTCTTTGATTTGTAACCATAAGAAAACCTGATGACCGTATTAAAGTAATTGTCATTTTAGTATTAAAGTCTTAAATCATTGATCAGAAAATGTCGAAGCCTCCAGTCCAGTCATCTAACGGCCATGGGTAATTCAATACATGTCTAAAAACGCTTACTTCACAAGAAATGAGTACAGTATATTAATCTGAGTATTTTTTACAAATTTAATTGATGCATTACAAGTTTAAAAAATGATTAGATTATAAGGCTGAGCCTTAAGAATTAATATAGACCCATATTACTAATTTTCAAAATGCCAATGTGTACAGTAGCTGATACCGATAAATAGATGTAAAAATCCCGACTATGTAACCCTGAGGTATAAAATAGAGAGCGCAGCCATTGAGAGCTCACTTTGAGCACCTTATTCTCTGCATACAGTGGGGTATGCTATAACGAATCTAATTGGTTCTAGAACCTTGTTTGTTATAGCATTCGTTAGTTATAGGATTAATCCGTTCCACTGTAACAGGTATGTTACTCTGTGTCTAACACCATCATATTAAGTGAATTTGACTTGGTTGAATTTTGTTGAAGATGTCAGTGTTCCTGTTTTAACGTAACTTAAGTTTTGGGTGTTGGTGTTCATGCGCATTTGTTTCCTTGCACCAAGACGTATTTTGTAACTGTTGTGTTTTCATTTATATCACTTTCAGTGCCTTATTCTCGGCATAACAGGCACTGTATGTGTTGCTGGGGCTGCTAAGGGTCGGCGGCCAGTGGAGACAGGATGTATTGAGTAAACCATGATTGAGCCTGAGGCCTACTGGTACAGCGGGGTATGGATGCACTGACCGAATCCAAGACTCAGCTTCAAAGCTTGAGATAGGCCGCAGATTCGCTGAGTGTGAACGCACTCCAACGTTTGGATCCCAACAAGAAAACTTTCCTTCGATCCCAGCCGGCATAAGCCCAGTGGTAATTCATCGTGTATGTATCAGTCTGAAGTACACTGTTCTCACTGAAAAGGTGAATACCAAAGTGTCCTGTGTCGTCAAGAGGGTTAACAGGTATAACATTAGTAAGTGATGAGAGGTAACGTTGTGTCTTGGAGTCCTGTGAAGTGTGTGTGCCCAGAGTAAATTGTACACAAATATCAGCTTTGTGATAGATTTTTGGAGTGTTATAAAGTATTAGTATAAGTGGTAATGAAATGAAGTGGCGAAGATTAATTATTATCATGTGTCACCCTCGTAGAATGTTAAAGTAAGTTACAGTATTTTCTAATCAATATTGCTTCTGTTAAATTTAAAGATTTGTTTTTGCAAAGCGGGAAGTAGGGCCAAGTGGTCCTTATAATTTGTATCAGTGTTAACGTAAATTTAGACAAGTCCTGAGTGAACCTCAAGGAGTGGTTCATGTGTTTGTGTTCTATTGGTGTGTTCCTATACTCGACTTCATTGCAATAAATAATCATATGTTTTTTGTGATATCATTACCGCTGCAATATCCACCTTTCATTCCCCCTCATAATTTGTGCTAGTGAACACATTAGAACCCACGAGCCTTACCCTCGCCACGTTACTACCAACCAAGAGGTTAATGTTATGTTATGAAATATATTCTGATAGAAAAACCTGGGTGGTGGCAGCTACTGTGAGCAATGAAGATTGTAAGGTAAAAAGGGGTTTCCCAGGTAAACCTAGGATCAGAATATAATTAGGTTAGAAAAAGTAACAGAAAATAGAAAATACTTTGAGAAATTGAATTAGAAAACAGAATTGAAACAATTTATAAAAGAATAAAGATATATAATAAATAAAATAAATACAATAATAAAGACATCATTATACCCCCCACATCACCCCACCATTTACTGGTCTTAGTATTGTATTCCTAGTCATCTCTTGAAGCCATACACCAAGGTGGCATATTCTAGAGTTGTAGTCTTCAATTGCTTCCATTTTTCTTCAGCTACTCTCCCTTTGCCTTTATTTACATATACAGTGTACCTATATATAAATTTTTACCTTCAGCTCACCAACATCAGTTTTTTTATTTATGAAATTCTTTTGCAACTTCATCTTAACAAGAAATCTAAATAAATCACAAGCCAGCACTCACCTGATCATAGCTTGAGACATTTCTTCCAACTGTGCAGGCATGGGCCTTCCTACAGGAGCAGGATCCGAGTCAAAGATGACCTGAGCACAAGGATACTTCCACAGATCAAAGTCAGGGTATATTGGTAGTTCTTCAACAGCAGTGACACCTGGCTTGCTGTAATGAGTCTCCATAGGAAGCTTAACCTCCTGGAAGGTTTTTTCAATGGCCTCAAGCTGACTTTCACGGTCAGTGTAGACATTCTCTTCCTGGAAATGGGTTTAGGTTAATAAAAGAAAAAGAAGAAGGAAATACCTCTTTGAAAGATAATGTACATTATGAGTGGCAATAATTCCTTTAAAATACCTTAACAGTTCAATAGAAATGGCTTTAAACACAGAAACTGCAACTCTAAGATTAATTCTTTAACCTTACATACAATGTCTTGACTCCTCCGAAGGGTGGCCTGAACAGAAGAACCTCCAAATTTTCCAATCACCATACACCTCCTCTGCCCTCTGTTACCCTTAACCCCTTCCCCCTTTCTCTCATTAATGTATTGCTCTACCTTCTCCCGACAATGCAAGCAGTCTCCTTCTACTCGACACAATTGGTACATTTCCCCTTTTACACCCTCTTTACTAAGTTCCAGTATCCTTCTTACATCCATAACAACACTAAACCTCTCTTCATCCATTCCACCTATACACAATTTACACTCTTTGCCTGTTCTGCCTTTCCAAGCACCCACTCCACTTCCCTTTTTCATGCCCGTTCATTCTGGTAACACCACAAGAAGCCCTGATTTTTTTTAGCATACTGCTCCATTTCAAGTCCATGTTTTACTGCCATAACTGAAGATATAAAATTCCATACTTCCTCTGAGTTCCTTCTTTATCTCCAAGTTTAAATTCCTTCCCTTAATACAATACTGTACTGTACTGTGCTTCCCTGCTCAACAATCACCCTCATCCCATGTATTGTTCACCCCCTTCATTTATTCTCTATCATACCATTCTTATTTAGCTTCATTCCCATGTACTTGAAATCCTTACTTTTCTCCAGCATCTCAATCTTCATCATAGTCTTATATCTTAATTCATTAGGCTTTCACTTCAGTAAGGTTTACCACAATCCACTAAGTCACTCTTTTATCTCAAAAACTATTACCTGACCCAATTCTTCCATCATAGACCTGTTCACTCTCTACAAAAAGAATGGCATGTACAGAAGAGGATGTACTACTGTGACAACTATGAAAAGGTTGGGTGGGGCATGGATAGTGCACCAAGGAGCCTTCCCAAACTTATCTCATATTATATTTCCTTTTCTCATTAAAAAGCTTATACTGTACCCATGATAGGTTATGAACCTATGGCTATACTTTTCCGACAAATTAAACTCACTAGTTATACCTGTAATACTATCATTATACAAAAAATAACAACTCACCGTGGCATTCTTCCTACGTGTAGCAAAACCAACAGTGGCCTCAATCTTTTCATTAGTCTGAGGCTGGAAGCGTGTTGGTTCAGTTGAGATGTACTCAGTTCGACGCAACCAAGACACATTGACATGATGATGTCGAGAGCGTTTTGCATCCTGTAACACAAAAGATATTTAAATCTTTTTACAAAATCATTTAATCACAACAGTTTTACTTCATGAAAACAATCTTTTTTTTTATAAAAAGAAAGGTTAATATCAGAGGTGAGAAGAATTCAGGTCTTGACCCTATAAGCTAATTTTATATAAAGACCAAATTTGGGGGGATTTTCACAGTAAACTCCCAAGCCATGGTAACTGATGGGAATCCAATGATTGCTGACTCTCACTTCTTAGACAAGATCATCCAAAATGTGAAATTAGAGGTAATGATTCACCCTTGGACACAGGATAGTGATGAGCCATGACACTGCTCAGCTATTCTTTCTACTGCATAAATCATACCTCATTTGACAAAGTCATAAACAACAACAACCTGCCCCTCACTTAGCCAACCTCCAAGGATAGACTGTAACAGGGGAGTAAGAAGGATCTGGGTTGCTTTTCAATGGCTAAGTTAAGAAAATATATTTTTTTAGGCTTAAACTCTCCTTTATAACTTGGCACTAGTTTGGTGGCATGCAGCATGCACCCCTCATGGTGTTTGCCTCTTGCATTAAAAAAGGGAAACAGGCATCATCTTACAAACTCACACTTGCCTAAATAGAATTCTGGTGATGTCCTAGAATGAATTCCTCACACTCAGATGGGTGCCTCAAAAATCAGAGATTCCAAGAGCCCCAAAAAGGCATTCATGCACCATAAATCTTAAAAAAAAAAGTCGGCATCTGCTGATGTAGACCATATCAATCACTAAAACTAGTGCACCCCCACACTCAGACCAAACACCAGTAACTAAATAAACTGGATAATTAGTGTACAGGGGTCTTCATTACTAGTTGGGGATGTATTCCAGAGAAATGTGACTTATAGTGAAACGTTTTATAATGAGGACCTTTCCACCCTAAGAATGAATGTAATTAGGGGTATCGTATATGCATTCCAACAATAGAGTAATACCCCTTGAAAGCTCAGGATGTTCCTAGAGAAAGCTTTCAACAAATCAGCATACATCAGGGTCATTATAATACATGTCAATTCCGAAACCAGAAAAAAGTACACAATAGTTCCTAGAAGGAAATAATATGAACAGAATACGCCTCATAAATGCTGAGGTGAAAATCCTTGTGGGTCTCATCATAAATCAAAAGTACAGTAGCAAGTGTACCATCACTACCAGAGTTGTCTGAACACTTTTTTAAGATTAACTTCATTCAATCTTAAGAGTATCACAAGTGTCATACTCACAAACAACCACCACTACTTCAAAGGTTACACACAATTGTTTTCATAATTATGCCTTAAATCACAACATTCATTTCATTTAAAAGTGAGTCATGGACTTTATAAGCTGAAGTACTGGGATACAGTACTGTACTTGAGAATTTAGTGACATGCATAAAAATTTTCATTAAGGATCTCACTCAGACTTCAAAGTTTCAGGCTACTTAATACCATCTCACATAATTCACTTATGAATAAAAAAAAAAGTTATTTTGCAAAACCTGTGGAGTAAGAATATCATCTTCAAGCAATCTTTCATCTGTAGGATGAAGCTGTACACCTGCTACTGGTGTGTAGGCCTCTGGGTTGATAAGATCAATTGTCACACCCAAATCATGTTCAGTAAGGACTTCATAACGGTAGTTTTTTTCAAGAGAAGTTTGCTTGTAGCGCACATATCTGCAAGTCATTTGGTTTCATAATACAAAATGGTACTAGAGATGAAAAATTTGTGACTCAAAACAATTTATTTAAAAAATATATGAATCAGTGTATAAATCAACATGGAATTAAAGAATCAAATCTGTAGCTCTTACCTGTTTGAGTCAAAGGGATAGTTGATGAACTTTGGATCAAATGGAATATCTGGTAGTGTGTTGCAATACTTCACCCTGCTCACTAGGTCAGATCTGTCATGTGGGTACAAAATATTAGTATTGTACTGTACAGTATATAAAAAATATAGAAAAAGAGGTGGAAAAGTGATAGACTAGATCAGTGCTTTTCAACCGGGGTGACTTGTCACCCTGGGGTGACCCAGGCTAGGTCCAGGTGTGACCTGATAGGCTGGGGTGATCCAGGGGTGACCTGGTAGGCTGGGGTGACCCAAGGTGATCCAAGTGGCTGGGGTGACTACTAGGGGTGATTGGCTGTATATATAAGCCTAGAACAATACATATCTTATCGCAATATAAGCTTTGAATGAGTATGTGTGGTAAAATCGACACAAAACAGAAGGTTTACTATGACAATGAAAATGCACAAATACAACTGAAAATCAAATAAAATTTGGCATGGTTCATTGTCACTGGTGAAGCTTGTGACCTTCTCATTCAAACTGTTTTTCCCCTTTTTATGTACCTACCTGTACAGGGTGTATTGTGTTTTGAGGAAAAAAGTAAAGAAGTGCTCAAAAATAACAAAATACAAATCCCAACTGTAATTTGAAATAGTATTGTAATAAAAGTTCCATACATTAAAAAAAAATATTATTAATAAATAAATAACTGCTGGTGTCCAAGAGTACTGGACATAGTACGACATCTGTTGATTGTTCTCAGGAAAATGTGAGCGTTTGCATTTAAGGAGGGGGGGGGGGCTATCTTTAAAGTCTAACACAAGTTTGGCTTTTTCCAATACACCTGATGCTACTCCAGAAGGATGTGTACTATGTTTATATTTTATGACTAAATTCTTGTGTTCTGTTGCTTATGTGTAACATGTTATGTGTGCCTCATAATGGGGTGACCCAGTTCATGGAAGAGCTTCCCAAGGGTGACCCACCATGAAAAAGGTTGAAAAGCACTTGACTAGATGACAATAGCATATAACTTACAAATATGTATAACAATGAGAAACCTTATTACAGTACTGCCAGTTATGCTTTGACTGAGTCCAAGGTGCATGAAAAACTTAGGCATTTAGCTGTAGTTTCTCCACACCAACCAATGAATGTTCTAAGGTGTAGGAAGAATAATGTACAGTATACAGTTGTGCCTTTCTCACTGAGTGCAAGTAAAGTAACATGTTTGGTCAGCAGTGTGAACACCAAATCCAAATTTTGTGTGGGGATAAACAAGAAGTCAGCTTAATTTTTTTGTTCCCTTAATTTGAACCTTAAGTTCATTTAAACCATTCTTCCCCTTGTACAGTCGGGGAAAAAGGTTCGACCCCTGTAGTGAAACTGAGTCTCTGAACTGACTTACCCTGACTGTTTCATCTCATTTGGGGTTGATGATGCTTTATTTTGAGGGGGGGGGGGTGAACTTTTGACCCCGACTGTACAGTTCAAAATGGTGAATTTTCAAGAGTTTCAATAGTAAAAAAAACAGAAGGGTTCATAATTTGGGTGTTGCTGATGAGATGGAAGGATGAGGTAAAGTGAGGGATCTAGATATCTAGGAAGCAATGTGTGTGGCAATGATCAAAGTAGTTCTGGGGGATAATAGTGCAGGAGATGGGTGATGCTGCTAGGTTGTGGCAGGGATAAGCTACACAGATATTCGGGACTTTTATCATGAAACGGGATTACTGTAGCATAATTTTTTTTTAACAGTATTACAGCACGTAAAAAGAGTATCTCTGCTCTCACCTCTAACCAATTTGCATTAAATTGGCAAAAGACTGAAGAATGTGCTTTTGTATGAACTTTAACCCCACACAAAATTACTAAACACACTACTGTACTGTACTGTACACCGGGTATGTCTTTCCTCTTTTCACTATGTAAAGTCAAAGCTGGTTAAAAGTTTTATGGAATCTCAATGATGAAGTAACTACCCCAAACACACAACATTTTAAGAACTCAGTTACTTGCCTTCTAATATGTATTTGTTCCTGAAGTGGAAGGCTTGTAGAGAAAGGGATAAAATAATTGTTATTCAACTGAGAAATTAAGAGTTTCATATACAGTAGTACGGTATTCACTATTGAGTTTAGTACAGTACATGTTACTGACATATACTGTAGTATTGGTATTAGCACGATATCTAATGTATATTATATTACTATAAATGAGGCGCTCCGTGTCAGAAGGGGGTGAAGCGCCAAATTCAAAAAGATGAGAAAAACGTGTTTAAATTTCTTCGAAGTTCAAACAACCATAACTTTTTTGTTTTTTAAGCTAGGTTTTTTTTATCGTGCAGCCCAATCCCTCTCCTAGCGAACTGTGAAAACAAGAAGTTAGTACTGTGAGTAGTTATTATTTTATCGCGAGCTGAATGAGAATAACTACCCGTGATGTACAGTCGTTTGATCTTCAAACCAACAATAATCGCGTTTTTCTGCAAAATTTTCGTATTATTGTGGACTAATACTGTAAAACAAGTTAATGATCACCAAAAACAGCACTCGTCTTACACCCCCCTCATAAACCCCCCAAAATAAAATAATAATAAAAAACTCATTTGCCTATCAATATTTATCTTTCCGTCCCTATTATCAGCCAAATATTTATAATATTGTTAAGTAAAATAGTGTGTAATAATAAGGAAACACCACTACACTCATCACCCCCACCATTAACCTCTCCCCTCCCCCCAACGTAATCAACATACGAATACAAAGGCGGAGAAAGTTTGCATAATCTTTGGTAAAAACATTATTATGACAATAGTATTACAATCTTACTTTGTTTAGTTCCTTCGTTTTATTATCCCTGAAGATCGTAGCAACTTGAAGTTACGTAAATCCTGAGGAGTGCGTATAACTTTAATGGCTTCGTCATAATCAACCACGTACTGATCAAAGTCGTTCTCTGCACTCTCTAAAAATCGCCACACAGATTCTTCATCAACTAAAACATTGATTATTGATGCCAGAAACAGCTCAGTTTCATTATAAGACTGAGGTATGGGCTCACTTTCACTAGCATTAATTGGGTCAGGCTCACTTTCACTAGCATTCGTTGGGTCAGGCTCACTTTCATTAGCATTCGTTACGTCAGGATCATTTTCATCACTATCAAGGTCAGTGCATGTCTCATCGCTGTCCACTTCAACCTCCTCAGTCTGTATGTTCTTGTTGTGATACATTAGTGTCACTGTTTGTGTTACCATTAGACTCGCTTTCATCATTTTCATCTTCACTTTCATTGTAATTATTACCGTCAGTGCATGTCATGTAACTCTGTACCGGATCACAGTCTGCAAAAAGGTCTTGTGATGCATAGCAGTCACTTTTTGTATTATGAGTATACAGTACTCAGTTTTATCTATTTCAAGCTCACTTTCACCATCATTATCATCGTCATTGCATGCCACATTGTCTTTTAACTCATCATAGTCGGCAAAAAGATCTTCGGATGGTTCATAACGTGATATATGGTTTTTTCTGCAATCATGCAAGTCACTTGCACCATCGCAAGTAGCACTTGTATCACCATAATCAACACTAAATTCACCACCAAAATCACTGTCACCAAGCATTACTGGGTGTCCATGTGAGCAGTGGCATCAAACACACACTCAGGAATAATAGGCTCCTGAACCCACACCAGAAGGCCTGGCCTCACTCGAGTCTTGCTCCAATATCGGGAGGATATTGCACAGCACTTCTCACACCCGTGGAACACGAACAATGTCAATGTTACGCTGAAAAGTTATAAAAAACAACAGAAAGTAAACTTAACCTCCTGATGCTAAAATATACGTCAAAACTAAGGGGGGGGCAGCATCCGGGCACGCGGATTGGCCGAGGAGCTGTGACGTAGCAAGGGAAAATCCATTATGATTGGCTGCCTCAGGGGGTATGGTTCGAGGGAGGCGCACTGTCATTGGCTCGCACTCCTCTCGCTCTGAATGGGATGTTGCCACTTTCTCGAACTGAGCGCACAGCCAGATAAGTAGCTCCAGGCCTGAGGCAAAATCATACCTTATTTTTTAAAGACTTTCTACCATATTTCTATTCTAGCTAGAGGGTTACATCCAATGCCAACATGCAGAGGAAGGGTGAAAATAGTGATATCCATCAAAAAACGCATTTTGGCCGGGGTGTCGCTTCACCCCCTTCTGATGCTGAGCGTCTTAAATACTGTACAATATTCCAAAATAAACATAAATTACCCTGACAGAAACTCTATGCACATTATGTTTTTATTAACAGTTTACATTTCAACCTAAAATAAAGGTTTTTGAAATGCTGGCAATGATTAGTGGTTTTGTTCCTGCGAAAGCCAATTATATATACAGCTACTCCTCGATTTACGACCTACTCGACTTACGACCACCCGGACATACGACCGCCCCAGTCGTACCAAAATTTTTACAAATTACGTATTTTCGAGTCCCGACGTTAGTGATAGCGCTGTGTACTGACAAAAAAAAATTTTTAATTTCCTTTAAAGTGGCTGGCATGCTTAAAAGTGAGAGTTTTGTGGTGCTGAGAAGAAAAAGATACACCCATTTTAGATTTTCTATGTACAGGGTATTATCTTCGCATTTTCGACTTATGACCAATTCGACTTACGACCTGGATTTGGGTCCCTAACCCCGTCGTAAGTCGAGGAGTAGCTGTATATGTTTTTGTTTCACTAGAGTACCAATGGAGACAAAGGCCATGACCCACCTGCCAATGTAGTCGGATATAGCAGCCACTGACTTGCTGCTTTGTGGAGATGTAAATGTTTGGTGCCCAATTTTTTTTTTGTACAGTACTGTACAATATTTACTTTAATATGGATATTTTTCAATAAATTTACACTACTATGAATGAGTGCTCTCTCTTTCTCTCTACTTTGTGGCACTACCTACAAATGAATATATTAAATATAAAAGGATAGAGGATGTACTATACTGTACTGTATATCAGCTGATTGTATTTCAATAAAAGCATAAATGATAGCATGAACATTCAAGGCAAACTTTCAGAAGAAAATTCTTATTAATGACTGGCTGTTATACAATTTTACTATTTAGGGCCACAAATATTATTAAATGGCCAAAAACTGTTCAAAATCCTTTGAATATTTTGCCCATGTGCAAAATGTACAAATTACCAGGTAAAGGTACTACAAAATTAGTGGAGGCTGAATTAGTAAAGTCCTAGTAAATTATGGGAGGACACTTGTGTGCAGAAGAAATGTGCAGTACACCCACGCAGCGTTCGTTTTTCTGCCTTCAAGTGTTAAAAATGCTGAGTTTGTGTTGAGTGTTCTGTATAATGTTTGTATGAGCAGATGTTCATGTACCAAATGTTCAGAAATCTAAGATTGCCTGTACAAATAAATACTTCACTGCAGTAAATAACCAAAGAAAATCACGGTATTGGGTTATTTATTCAATCACAAAATGATTATCATTAAACTTTCTATTCCTAGTAAAGTCTCATGCCTTGATGCTGCTGGTATGTAAGCAAACCCATTTAACTCACTTTTAGGGAGTTCCCAACTTCAACAAAGACTAAGGTGAATGATTTCTATTTAAAATAGTATATGCATACAATATTTTCTTTACTTTTTTTATTTGAGTGATAAAGCAATGTTCAATATAGTTTGTGAATATGTGGGACCAAACCTTGATGTATCCTACTGGATTCAAAGGTCAGTACAGTACCTATACTACAGTACAGTACAGTACCTGTACTACCATCTTTCACTGCACATTATCCCTCTGCTTCATAGCCCTTACCACAAAAGGATATACTGTACACAGTATGACAGGATATATGAGATACTGTACCAGTACTGAATGTATATTTTATGAGTGCTAATTATTTTGGTAATACAGTACAGTGTACTACTCTCTAGAACAGTACCACAATTTAACCATGAACTATTAAAAAAAAATTCTATACAAGACAATTTCTTTCTTCAAGAAAATACTTGAGAGGGGGGGTGCAATTTTCATTATCGCTATTAGCTAGGCAACATCTGAAAATTTGGTGCAGTTCCATAAAGTCCTTCTGGTGCTAACCATCTCCTCCACCGACACTATTTTCTTTTCTTTTTACCCTAAACTCTACTGTACTTGCTACCTTCCAGGTTTCAAGATACGGTGATGAATCGCAAATTTTTTAACATATTTTTGGATATTTTCTCACGAAAAGCATTTCAAACACAATGCTTCCACACAGGAACAGCATAACAGCCACTGCTACATTGTATGATTTATCAGAGATAAAATAATCCAACCCAAACTACCTAATTTAACATACAGTACATAAGCTACCTAACCGAGGATAGGTAAGTTAATCTTATCTTTGATAACTCATTTTAATGTAGCAGTGGTTGGTAAGTTTTTAAGTATTCTTGTGTATGCAACAGTCATGTCAAGAATGAAAATTGTGTTGTCACTTGGAGGTAGATTAGTGTTCAGGACAAAAAAATTTGTAACATTAATATTAAACAAAATTGTAAATTCTTATCATTTAAGGGATTTTTCTTGAGGTAAGAAAGAATGTATCATCTCTCGAAAAATTTCCATATGTTAACCTGTCATACTGTTCGAGAATATTAGCTTGTTTTATCAGCATAAACAGCAACAAGACAATTTTGGCAAAGTTTCATGAAAAAAATATTTAGTGGATACAGGCACAATAGTCATAGGTAAAAAATTACACTGGATATATATACGCCAGCCATACTGACACTGTGTTGTTAATAGTTAGGTTAGGTTAAATAAGGTGGTAAAATTACCATTTCTGTCATCCACCTATTTGAAAGTTGAAATTATGTTTTGCCAATGATTTTTAATGTGTTTTGAACGATTCTGACCTTCATTTCTACCGCAAATCACTACTTTTTGACCCTCCCCCCTTATCCAACAATAATGCGGGACCCCAGTGGGAACCAGGGGTTTTGGGTGGGGGAAAAATCAGAAAAGTAGTAATTTGCGATGGAAATGAAGGTCAAAATTGTTAAATACACATAAAAAAAAAAAAAACACTGGAAAAACATAATTTCAAACAAATCTAATCCAACCTAACCTAACCTAACCGGTAGAAATCGGTCACAGCACTGCTTCTCAAATGCAACCGAATCAAACGTAACCTATTGTAAACAACGAACTTAGAAAAAATACAAGGATTTTCCATCAAATTATTGCGATTTTTCCGGAAAGTAATCATTTGCGGAAGAAATGAGTTAATATTCGTCCATTGGCTATCAGCAGGTTTCCAATTTTCATTATTACAGACACAAAGACTATAAAAAAAAAACATACGACCTCATATCATTTCTGGTGCAAATCAATAATAACAGAGTATCTCACAAATTTCTAGGCATAAATTTCTGTACCCGCCATGTTGCCAGAATCACTTTTCTTGTCCTCTCCTTCTCCTCTTTGCGACATGACAACCAATGATCTTCAAGTATCGTGTCATGTGACTTGGCTGGCCAATAATTTTGAAGCAGCTATTTTGAAGGCTCATGATGGTGTGCAAAAAGTGCTCTCTCCCTTATCTAGGTGTTATGCAGCGAGTTTATCAGAACAATAGTGAAGCGATACAAATATTACAAGATCACGGTGTCCTACCAACATCAGACTATGTCCTACGTGTGGAATTTTTTTACTTTTAAGAAAAGACAGAAATTCTTTTGTCTGTAACCATAAGCGTACTAGATTGTCCAGCTGTATCCTCCACCACAATAGCAGGTAAGCTCCAAAAATGGTTAGGTTCGGTTTGTTTGTTTTTTGGTGTTATATGGTGTGTTTTACTCAAACCTGACTGCCATTTTGGTGCAAATTAGCATTTTCTGTTACAAATGAAATGTGGCAATACCTGTATTTAAATTAGTTTCGTAAGTTTGCTATAATTCACCATTATGCGTTTTCTTTGTTCAGCTTGTTTACATCATACTGTAACTGTAATCAATGGTTTTCTTGAGTAAACTGCAGACTTAAGTTGTCTCTCTCCTCCGAGTATTATGGCCATGTAAAACAAGAATACTACAATATCACAACATGAAAATTTTCATTTAAAAAAAAAAATGCTAATTTGCACCAGAAATGAAAGTCAAATATGAGTAAACCACACCATAATACACCCCCCAATTTTTTTTTATCAAACCCTGAGGACAGCCAATGGAAGAATATTTACCAAGAAATACTAAAAAAGGATAATAATACGGATGAGGTTATAGGTTAGGCGAGTAAAAAAGAGCACCAACTAGTAACTGTCATTGTATAGTCTGTCCACTATGCATGCGCATTAGGGTGCCGTACCAATAGACATCGATGTTTTATATATGGCAGCCGTACCTCTATAGTGGCCCCCCCCCCCCCCAAAAAAAAAATCATGGGTCCTCTTAATATGTAATCATTTAAACCATAAAAAATGTAATGCAGAACATTGGTAAGTGCAACTTTATAACTGTACCTGGTCAATTTATAGTAGTGCACCGTTCTATCTCCGGTGTTAGAAATATGTTTTTCCGAATGTTTAGACAATTCTAAGACATTTTTCTTCAATGATATTCCTAATACCAAAAGAAATATAACCTAACTTAACCTACCCCTTTTTCTATGTAAAAAACAAAAACAAACGATATAAAACAAAAAACAAAGAAAATCACCAAAAACCAACCAAACCAAACCTTAATTTCCGACGAAAATATCAAAGAAAAATGTCTTAGAATTGTCTAAACATTTCTAACACCGATAGATAGAACGGTGCACTAATATAAAAAGACCCTGTACCGGGTCCGACTAATTACCCAAATGTAGCCAAATGTAGCCGGAATGAAGTCAAATAATGGTCCTAGATGAATAAATCGGACTGCTAATAACTTCTCGACTAGTATTTGGTGTCACAGTCACAAAAAATTGGTAAACTTAATTTAATCTGAGTTAATAGATCAAGTGCATGTACCTAACCTAACCTAACCTAACCACGCCATCATTTTCCTTAAGTAATGGATATACATATAAATCACCTTTGCCTTTACCAGACACAGGACAAAGAACATTGAATTTAATATAGTATTCCACTTACCTTCTTTCACCTGTTCGTGGGCGCTTATCACGATCCACAGAGTGTGCTTGATTAACCGTTGGTGGCATTTTTCTGTAATTAAACTGCTTTACTGCCTATTGTTCACCTATAATTGCCTCCTTTACTCCATCACTGACCACCCAACAACAACAAACCCAGTGTTACCAATATGAGAATAATACCTATAATATATTTGATATTTTAGCATAATATACTGTATAGTTTTCAGGAGATTTTATGAAGCATTATTCAAGTAAATATTGTTATTAAATAAGATATACAAATTCATACATAATTTCTAAATACTATCATGTAGCATGTCTGATGAAAGGTACTGTAGAAACAAAATAAGAAGTAAGTTGGGTTTTGGTAACACTGAGGAGTACTTGGCTATGGTCACTAATTTTAAATTCAGGTAAAATTTAAGAATTAAGCTGACTTTTTACTTATGTACACAGTATTCTCCATAAAAGTCAGCTGGTCTACTTGCATATTTCTTCTTCCATTTCCAGGATAATAATTGTTAATGAATGCTGCAGATGGTGTTATTGTTGGGAAATCTGTGGCAATAATCAACTTTTATAGTGAGGCAATAATGTTTAAAGATCTCTGTATTTTCTGTGAGGGATTTCATCACTTTAATACTGTTGTTCTCTGTTTACACTGATGCCTGTGTTAAATTCAATGGTTTACGTGAGAGTTGTCAACTCTTGGAATAATCTGCCAAGAGTTGTGATAGTGTAGTGGATTTCTCCCCTACAAACGCTGTTTGTCGCTGAGTAGCCGACCCCACGAATTCCCCTGTGTATGCCTCGTGGTCTAGGTCAACCAGCGCCGCCTTACATGACGGAGGTCAACTACTAAGCCACGCCTACCCCCGCTATTTAAGACCTGACCTCGTGGTGACCTGCCTCTTTCTACCTACAGCCGCAGCCAGCAACACCTCCTCCGCCTGCCTGGCGGTCCTCGCTCCCGCCGGCAAGCATGGCGACCCACAAGCTGGTCCTCCTCTGAGCATCCTCACCAACCAGCTCTCTACATCACGCTTGTAACCATGCTGCCTTCCCAGTACCAAGCTGCATTGTACATCCAATACAACATGTATACATGAGAGCACATCGTGAGTTTCCTTTCTCCATTCCATCCTGAGTGTGAACCAAACATCTCATACCCCACAATAGACACCCTAGAGCAGCACTGTTTCTCTAAGCAGACACCAGCTCCTTTTCCTGCCCCCAAGCACCACGTCCTACCGACCCCAGCCCGTCCTGCCTCAGACGCCGACCCCGGCCCAGCAGTAACCCGTGCCGCCCCTGCTCCTGACGCGGACCAACACACCCGTCCTGGCTCAGACGCCGACCCCGGCCCAGCAGTAACCCCTGCCGCCCCTGATGCGGTCTCTGTTCCTGAGTGCGGACCCACACACCCCTCTTTTCTCCCTCAGGTATTCCCTGCTAATGTCCTGCACCCTGCTGCTGTCATGGACCCAGCTGCTGTCACGAGCCCTCATCCGCTTCTGCTGACGCAGCCCCTGCTCCTGACCCAGGCCCACACACCCCAGCAGGCGCATCTGACGACTCTGTACCTGCCATGAGGGAAGCACAACATTCATCGCCTCCACACACCCTTTTTCTCCCTCTCTTCTCCCACAGATAGTGTGTATCTAGACAGTTGTATCCAGCGACCGGCTCATCCACGCCATCGCCGTTGTCTCACATGAGGCATGCACCGCCCGTTCTGCCTCACATGTGCTAAGCAACCCTGCAGACAACAAGTCTCCTACACCGCCTGGAGGGAAGGAGGAGTATTGTAGTGGATTTCTCCCCTACAAACGCTGTTTGTCGCTGAGTAGCCGACCCCACCATTTCCCCAGTGTATGCCTCGTGGTCTAGGTCAACCAGCGCCGCCATACATCACGGAGCGGGGGTCAACTACTAAGCCACGCCTACCCCCGCTATTTAAGACCTGACCTCGTGGTGACCTGCCTCTTCCTACCTCCTCCGCCGCTGCCTGGCAGCCCTCGCTCCTCCTCCGCCTGCCTGGCGGTCCTCACTCCCGCCGGCGAGCATGTCGACCCACAAGCTGGTCCTCCTCTGAGCATCCTCACCAACCAGCTCTCTCTACATCACGCTTGTAACCATGCTGCCTTCCCAGTACCAAGCTGCATTGTACATCCAATACAACATGTATACATGAGAGCACATTGTGAGTTTCCTTTCTCCATTCCATCCGGAGTGTGAACCAAACATCTCATACCCCACAATAGCACCAAGTGTAAACTGACCACACAAATACATTCTGGGGCTAGTATTTGCCCATGCCAATAGTGCGTAACAAAGAAGTGACCGATCGCCCATTAAGCGGCTAACTGGCAGAGCAGTCAAACTCTACTTTTACTTTTTTTACTCTTATCCTCTTCGCTTGGGCGGTCGGTCACGTCTTTGTAATGCACTGTTGGCAAGTACTGGGCATGCACTGGCTCCTGAACATACCTGAACCTGCTATTGTGCTGGTCAAGTCTGGCCTTGAAGCAACAATCTCCGGCAGATTGTTCCAAGAGTTCACAATTCTCACTCCGAAAAAGTTCGCCCTCAACAGTTTTCTGGACTTACGGCTTCTTCAAACTTGAGCTGTGACCCCTTGTGGGGCGGGCGTTCGCCAGCTTCAGGTAGGGACACTCGACTGAGTACCCTGTAGTGCCCTTTGAGATGTTTATATACCCCAATGAGATCCCCCCTTGCCAGTCTGTAGTATATCGAAATTAAAAACACGAGTAGGAGTATCGCTGTATCGGATCTGAGACTTGATGATGGTAGGTACGCAGAGTCTGACCTGGACAAAGCCGAGGTATTGAACAGTTCTTTAACTCGGTGTTCACAAGAGAGGATGCGAACGCTCTTCCTGTGTTTAGGATAGGCTGTACGATACAGCACTGACCCACATTGTGTTCTTAGAAGAAAAGCTAAAGGTTCATAAGGTCCCGGACCAGACATGGTGCATCCCAGAGTGTTGAGGGAGTTGTGCAACGAGCTAGCTGAGCCCCTGAAGATTCTGTTCAGTAAATGCCTGGATGAAAAAAAGTCCCCAGTGATTGAAAAATGGCTTAGGTGAGTCCTATTTTCTAGAAGGGCGATCGTCACTTCACGAATAACTATAGACCGGTGAGCCTGACAAGCATAATATGTAAAGTACTTGAGAGCATTATAAGAGATGCCATGATGGAACATCTACAACGAAACAACCTCGTAAATGATTGCCAACACGGTTTTATGACGGGACGTTCCTGCTTGACACAATTACTCAGGGTAATGGATATTAGGACCCAAATTGTAGATCAGGGTGGTAACATCGACATTATTTACCTAGATTTTGTCAAGGCTTTTGACAGTGTACCCTATGAAAGGCTGAAAATTAAACTGGAAGGGTACGGGATTCCAGGGAATGTCCTGGCGTGGGTAGAGGGTACATGACCGCAAGCAGTGTGTGGTGGTTAATGGCACGAAATCATCATATGTATCCGTAACAAGCGGGGTACCACAGGGCAGTGTATTTTTTACTTAATTTTATCCTTTTCACCGCTGATCGGCTCGTTAGCCGCTTGGGCGATCGGTCACGTCTGATTACTTTTCCTTTTCTTTTGTCCTCTTCACCAAAAGATCGGCTCGTTAGCCGCTTGGGCGATCGGTCACGTCTTTGTTACACACTGTTGGGAAGTACTGGGCATGCACCGGCTCCTGAATGTACCTGAACCCGCTCCAGTGTTGGTCAAGTCTTGTCTTAAAAGAACTCACACCCGGTGCCGTCACAACACTTTCTGGCAGATTGTTCCAAGAGCTCACAACCCTCACTCCGAAAAAGTTTGCCCTCACAGTTTTCTGGACTTGCGGCTTCTTCAATCTTGAGCTGTGACCCCTTGTGGGGCGAGCGTCCGCCAGCTCCAAGTAAGGACACTCGACTGAGTAGTGCCCCTTGAGATGCTTATACACCTCAATTAGGTCTCCCCTTGTCCGTCTGTAGTATAAGCTAGGCAAGTTCAGGCGCTCCAATCTCTCGTGGACCAGACGGGGTGACAGTACTCCAGATGGGGAAGCACTTCACTCTTGAAGATCGTTACGAGGGACGGACCGTCTAGATATGTGAACGACCTTCTTATAAGACCCAATAATTTATTTGTCTGATTTACCTTCTTCTCGCAATGACCTGAGAACTTCAGCTCATTGTCAACATACACACCTAGGTCCTTCTCACATTCAATCTCAAATAGTGCAGTTTCTTCATCCCGTTGGGACATATGATACGCCTCCTTACCGTTGGTACGTCCCAGGTGCATCCTCTTACACTTTGTGACATTGAATCTCAGCAACCATTTCTTCAACCATTCTTGAAGCTCACAGAGATCCTTCTGCAGCTCTTCACAGTCCGCTTGGTTCTTAATTTCCCGAAATAACTTGGCGTCGTCAGCAAACATTTGTATGGAGGAATGTACAGCTTCAGGCATGTCATTTATGTAGCAAACAAACAGCAGCAGGCCCAATACACTGCCTTGTGGTACCCCGCTTGTTACGGATACAGATGATGATTTCGTGCCATTAACCACCACACACTGCTTGCGGTCATGTACCCTCTACCCACGCCAGGACATTCCCCGAATCCCTTACCCTTCCAATTTAATTTTCAGCCTTTCATGGGGTACACTGTCTTGCATCATAGTACGTAAATTTTATGGCAACTTAAACTTTATATGTATTTTAGGTGTTATTTGTGCTTCTGCTATCATTGCAAAATTTATCTAGGTGTAAATATTGATCGAATTCACCAGATATACAGCTAAACACACTTTCACTTGATAGTCCTCGACAACTTGGCAAACAAATTCATTGAAAGGGTGGAGGGGGCGGGGCAGAACGGGGGGTACTCTCTAAGGTTTTAAGCGTTTATGTATGTCGAAAGTAAATTTACTTGAATAACATCTGTAAAATCATAGCGCATAAGCCATAACTCAGGATGGAGGTGAGAAAGGAAACTCACAATAATGTTCTCTTTACATATATTATATGTACAGTGCAGTAAGATGCAGGGGAGTTGCTGTGTTGTAGAGAAGCTTGTTGAGAGGAGTTCTTGCTGGTTTGAGAGCTCTGAGTAGAATGACCTTCACTTCAATTGACTTGACGTCTGTAGATAAGGTAGGGCTATTGCTTGTAATGCTGGGTGGGAGGGCAGGGATTAGGATTGGTAGTACTTTGGTGGCAATTTGGGGGGTTGGGAGGGGACTGGTTTAGGAGTAAGGTAAGAAAGGGAGGAAATTTGAAGGAAAGTAAGAGATTAACAGTATCTGGGCTCAACCAGATATGCTGAGATTATAATAATTATATTTGAACTTACATCTTTCGCGATTAGGTGGGTATTTATATGATCCTGTGGTATGGAACTCGCTGCTGATTGGCTGAGACGAAGACGGGAGATCAGCTGTAGGGGAGAGTTTCCACTACAGTGACTACACAACATTTAAAATGATGTAGCAATATTCAAACATCTCGGCTTATTTTTTTTATATATTTTTTAATTCCTCACTTTAATACTATGGCGTTGTGTTAACATTGACGTCTGGTAGGTAACTCGAATATTTACGTTAAATTCAATAGTTCACTTCTTAATAGTATGCATCTGTTAGCTTATTGATAGACCTTATTTGTTCAAAAAAAATATGCAGCCCGTTCAGTCTGTACGTTCTGCATATGTTTTTAATTCTGTATTTCATTTCCAAAGAAAACCTGTAACGTTAAATATTTGCTTCAGATTAAATCTGACTAGAGGTTGTAGTGGACGTCTCCCCTACAACTGCGTAGCCGCATGCTACCTGCTACGTCTTCCCTAGCAACCAAACGAGTGGCCCAGGGGGGGGGGGGCGTCACCAGATGTCACAGTATCCTAGCAACGGAGTCAAAAGACCGGGGTTTCCCACGGGTGACTCACGGCTGCTGTTTATATAAGCTCTGTCTCTCCATTAAGATTCATTCTGGCCTCTCTTCTTGAACACGCAACACCTCCTCCTCCGCCGCTGCCTGGCGGCCCTCGCTTCTCCTCCGCCTGCCTGGCGGTCCTCGCTCCCGCCGGCGAGCATGGCGACCCACCAGCTGTCCTTCTCTGAGCGTCCTCACCAACCAGCTCTCTTATTCTGCTCTCGGTTCCTGAACACGCAACACCTCCTCCAAGCAAGCTCCTCGCTGTCCCGTTCTCATTCAAATTGAGAACTCTGGGAACAATCTGTCAGAGTGTGTTGTGACGGCACTGAGTGTGAGCTCATTCAAGGCTAGATTTGACCAACACTGTTGCAGGTTCCGAAATACAGTAATCTGGAGCCAGTGCATGCCCAGTATTTACTAGCAGTGCGTATCAGAGACGTGACCAACCGCCCAAGTGGCTAACGAGCTGTTTAGTGGCGAAGAGGATAAAAGCATGTGAAAAAGAAAAAGGTGAAAAATATGGTTTAAAAGTTAATGCTGTAAGGAGTAAAGTAATGGTTGTTTCCAAATTGGGAAAAAATTCTAAAATAAAAATTATGATAGGCAACAGGAAACTTAAACAAGTAGAAAATTTTGTGTATTTGGGAAGTAACATTAGCTGTGATGGTAGATGTATGGAAGTAATCAAAACAAAAATAAGGTAAGCACCAAAAAGAGGTTGGAGGCCTCTGATACTTTGGTCATATTATTATGGTTGAGGGAATAATAACAGAAATTAATGGGCAAAGTTGAGTATAGGAGGGCCAGAGGAAGGCAGAGACTGAGATGGATGAATGAAATGAAAAACAGGATCCCCTGAGATACAAAACCTTAAGACGATTGTTAAAAACAGCCCGAGAACCTTTAGTGGAGAACTGTGGTTGCCAACCCTCAGATATCATTGATCCTGACAATACCTCACCTGCATTATGATTGGCTACTGACATTGTTAACGTCACCACGGCAGAGAAAGATTCAATATTTTACAATATGTTCTTCTTTCCTCCCTTATTTATTTTTATATATTTTCATATATCAACAGAATATGTAAACACATGTCAAAATAACCCCTTCTCAGGGGCAGATCCAGGAATATCTAGAGAGGGGTTCTAAGAAGCTGTGAACGCGGGGAATATGATGAGCAAAGCGAGCCAACCCAGCTGTTTGGATTTTTTTTTGGGGAGGGGGGGTTGCTGTAAGCCCCGCCAGAATTTTTTTTTAAATTTGACCAATATCATAGTAATTTTGAGGCAATTTTTGAAGCCATGTGCATTTGATATTAGGAAATATTCTGAAGTCAATAGTCATTACTTTTTACTATACAAAAATGCCCGAGTACAATACTGCACTAAAGAAAAGTACTGGAACTTTCTGATAAAAAGGGGGTGTCCTCCGGACCCCCACCCTGGATCCGCCCCACCTCTACCTGCATCCATAATTAACCAGTAACATGACAACTATATGCTGCACACTCCTCCCACCCAGATGGTTTCTGATTCACTGGTCTCACACTGACAGGGTTCACATTTGTGGTACAGTGTAGCACTCGGAACTTTCCACGACTGTACCTTGAGTGGATGTGGAAGTGTTTATTTAACATACTGATCAGCTGATGGACGGTCATACTCTATAGCAAATGGAGGTGGTGAAGTTGAATGGTAGACTAAATCAAAATACCTGTACAGGTACCACTATGCAAATTTAAATCCCCAAATTACAAAGAAATTATACCGAGAGATTAAAATAAACTTATGTACACAACTTATACAATGTCCAGTAATTTTTTCACACTGTTACATATGATACACTTATTTTGCACCATTTTAAATTTGTATTTTGACACATCGTGGCAACCCTGGTATAAGGATACACCTCTTCATGTTGGCTCAAGCACTTTCTCTACCCATCACTTCCTGTAAACCATTTTCTCTTTCACAAATAGAGTGTACAGTATCTATATAGTACATTCATAAGGTAAATTCTTCTGTATTCTTGAAATATTTACTTACCCTCATAATAATTTTCACCTCATTTACTTGTTCCTTTTACTTTTTTAGTTTTATAAATGTACCAGTGATTATTTTGCTTTCTAGACATTTTTATTTGGTGGTTCTGCATACAAGTCTCCTTTCTTTTACCGTTTTTATTTCATATAATTTCACCAAATTTTTCCTGTTTTTAAGTTTTACACCTTTGTGATTATCTCCACTGAGGTATTCATCAACAACCACCACACTTCCATCTTGCTTAATAAAAAAAGTAAGATAATCGCTACAGTACTATGGTTATAAAGACATACCATATGGTATTGTTTTCTTTATTTTGTTACACAAAAGACATCATATAGGAGAGTATTTTCTTTATACAAAATATCTTCCAAATTAATACCATTCAAAACAATGTCATGCATGCAACACCTATACACAACAGAATTTACAAATAATACTCCTGGTGCTATTGGCCTCCGTCAGTAGATATCAACACTCAAGAGAAGAATGTGTACTGAGCTTCTGACACCAAGCCCTGTTCAGAGTGGGTATGGCAAGCAGCAGCAGTGACTGAGGCCTGATAACCAATTGTAAAGCAGTAGGAGACATTCTCAGCTAAATTCTTAAATCATTTTCTAAAGTAACAAAGACAACCAAGTCATAAACACTTCTCTCCACTGATCCTTGCCATATACTGTCACCAACCTTCACCTACTTAAGCAAATCTTCCCACTGGGATGGAGAAGCAAATGTATTTGACAACTTTTTACCCCACAAGAATTTTATCTCAGTCTTTCAGGAACCACATTAATTGGGAGAGCCAACTTGGCAAACATCGGAAGACAATGAAAATATGGCTTCTAAAAAAGTTTGCCAGGTGTGCTAATTGTGTTTGCTTGTGCACTTCTAAAATTCTCTGCTGCTTTATTAATTAAATTCAGGTCACTATCTAATCACAGAATTTGTTATATGAAATTAACACCCTGGATTTATATAATCTACAATATATTTGTGCACATTATCTGAATTTTTTTATGAAACTTAATATAGAGGCCAATTGTACGGAACTTAAATTACAAGAAGTGATATAAGGATGAATGAATACATTGCACCAATATGGATGGCCATAATAGTGGTTAGAAATGCTAGTGACTGCTGTCTCCATCCTTAACATCACATCTTTCTCCCTTAACATCACAGGGGGAAAAAAGAGGCTATCCAGGTAGTGGGTGCTGAGGACATTATGATCAGCATACAGTACTTTGTTAGTTATTGCCATGAGCACTACCTCAATACACCTTTGTTGCGAGTGATGATATAACTCAACACTGCAACTACTCTTTATGTGTAAATTTTGTTGTTGCTGATAACATTAGTTTCAAAATGGCTCATTATTGGTTGATAGCAACACTAACTTCAGTGTACCCAGCAAATGACCACAAGCAACACTACCCAAAGTGATTATGTTCTTTACCAGGCCATAAGCCTCGACAAAAGGGAGTTAAATATCAAGAGCATTAAATTTTCTTACAATCCCAGAAAAATACTAACTAGTTTGTAAGTATTTTAAACCTGATATCTGTTAATTTCAACATAAAATCAGCATGTAGTACAAAAAAATATTTCTCAGTGCCAGTCAAATACAACATGAGGCTTACAGCATATAAAGAATATATACAAAAAAAAAAAGCACTTCATTCAAGTGCTAACAATAATACTAGTAATTACACTGAAAACAGCATATATTGGCTATCACTTAAGATCTTCATTCTTAACCTACAGTAGTGAGATCAGACAGACCCTTCTTTTGACGGCATCTCGCACTTGACAACACCAGTCCTGTTCATACACTACCCGTGAACATCACAACACTGGAGCTATGGTGAAAACTATGGTGTAGCTGTGGTTGTGGCCAAATTGAGCAGCAACGTAAGTGTGTCCGTTTATATGAACAGGAGACAGGTATACAGTTGTGGATGGCCTGGATGCTGGTGACGAGCAACTATCATGTACTTGCTCTTATTCCAGCCTTAGTGCCGTCGCCCAAAAATTAACCCTGGGACAACAGTAATAGTTCTCTACTAATTGAGGCTGGGTGTCAGTTTGAGGGGTAGGGTTCCTTACAGCTTATGAACATAGAAATGAACACCACAATACTCCTCATATCCCAGGCCACAATCACACTAAAATCACAATGATAAAAATATAGTTATCTTTACATTGTGTGATTGTCAAGACTTAAAACAAATATTAACCACATTATAAAATGTGTTTTACGTTTACAAAAAAACATACTCTAATTGATTATATCAAACATTTAAAGCATACAATATAGCTATGACAAATGCAGTTGAGGCAATAAATATATTCAAAAGATACAAATTGTCTTTCATTCAAACACAGGAAATTTGAAAGTTTTTATGACCTGAAAACAAATAAAATAATACCGAGAGCCTCAGCTACAGTTTGCCACGGTATAATATAGACAGTTAATCCATGCTACTGCAGTAACAGTCACAGGATCATGACACCCTCTACACTGAGATCACGTGAACTACACTAGTAAGGGCATTCTCACTGTGCCATACCGCACACCTCTAATTCATTGTCATGCAAATGCCAGATTTGTTACCTCATACTTTGGAATGAAGTAAATACTGTAACACTGGGATGTCTGATTTCCTGTTATTAATCATACACAGGATGGGGCACTTAACTGTGATGCCTAAGAACTCTTACAGCCATCAGTGCAGTTGCTGGTGAGAATACCTTTGCCACTTTCCAATTAAGCATAACCGAATTTTGTTTCGGAAACACAGATAGCTGATTGGTGAAATGCCTCTCATAATGGAATTTCAGCCAATGAAAATGAAGTATCTAAACAGAAATAGCTATGTTAAAGATAAAAATTTGGCTTTACTCTCCTGGTCTTCCTGACAGGGGTTTGAGGACAGATGAAAGACACAACTGCGTCTGCTGAGATCACCTCAGAATTGGCAGGATAATAATGTGCTAGAGCTCATTAAGTCAAGCTTAATATTATCTAACAGACTACTACTTTCTGAGCAAATTTAACTTCTTAACCTATCACTTAAAATTTCTTTCCAATAAAACACATAATATGATTCTCTATATATCTGCTACTATATGTAACAGTTATAAATTTCAGGACGAGACCTTGTTTATAACAGTAGTAATTTACAATCAACATAGTTGCAGGAAATAGGGAAGATTCAGGGTAAGAGTAGAAAAATAGTTATCAATATATATTTAGGTTATGAACAAAAACTAGTTTGTTCTATACACATTATTTGTGCTTTTGAAAGACTTACGACACACGAGCACAAGGCAGCAAGTAAGGAGTCCCCACTCTTAAGCTACCCAAATGCCTCACTCCTTTCTCCTCTGCTTTGAGCTTACTTATTATTGAACCATGATTGTACAGGACAAAATGTTTGTACAGTTCTTTGCTAAAAGTAAATAAGAGCCTATGTCATATTACCCACAGTTGCACCCCCTGGGACTACCGTTTCATAAGGCTGACTTTTCCCATACTCACAGCAAACTGGCACATATACATTTCACAATTATTCTGGCTTCCAATTATCTACATATATTTAATATAATAAATAACAATAAAAAAGTCTTACATAATTTACTTCACTCGTCCTAGTACATGAATCAATTACCATTGTTAAAAAGGGTAACTATAAAACATGCAAATAAAACATGGAAAGAAATGGGGATTAAATCTTGAAATCCTGTTTTATGCCTGAAACTAAAATGGATAACTCAATGTGATTACATTAACCCAACATACAGTGAAAGAACCTAAATTTCATCATAAAAGGGTGGTTTGGTTTCAGCAAACAGCTTCTCTTCCTAGTTTGTGTTTGGTGACTGAGTGAGGTATTGTGCATAACATGTCAGTTTCAAATACCTGATGTCTAAGGGGGATACTCCTATTTCCAAGGATCCACTACTGTACTGCATTTGAATAAAAGGGTAGACCTAGTTACAACAAGAAGAAAGATTTGAGGGCACCTTGGCTGCCCTTTCAAGATGATTGATAGGTTTGTTCATAGACTGGGTTGGTGTAACAATGTGAAGTTGTCTGCAGAGGTCATCGTCAGAATTTTTTTGTTAACCCAACTTTAGGGGAATTTAGGGGTACTGTACTATTTACTTAAGCTTCACTGACTTATTAAAACAATAAGCAATTAATGTATTGCACAACAATAAATGTTCCCTGCCAATGCTACAAAAGAAAAATGCCCGCCAAATTACCATTTTCAATCTAATAAAAAATTTGTTTGACAAGCATCTGTGTATTAGGTATAATTCTTTACATTTGAGCTAAATACATGAGTAAAATCTATACAGTAGTTAATAAACTGATGCTGTTTATGAACATACAGATGGATGGAACATCATACAGACGGACGGACGGGTGGATGAATTAAGGTTACACCAAGGTCCCCTTCCAGTTTCACCAGCAGGAAAAAATCAATATAAAATAAAATTAAATAAATAAGTAAATAATAAAATTAACAAACTCAAAAGAGTGTATGGCCAGCTACAGGCCATTCATTAAATATACCTGTATTAAAAAAATTCATGGTAATTTATTGTATGTGATCAATTGAATTTTAAAAGTGTTTCTTAAGGATCATCATCTTAAATGATGGCTAGAAACAGCATAACCTTTTCCCATCATATGAATACTGGCCTTATTAAAATTAGACTTTTTCATTTTGTAAACACTGTACCTGTACAGTTTATCTATCTGATGGATGTTTATAAAATAAAAGATAATGAGGTACTTTGTCTTAATACATCTGCACATTAAAATCTGAAGGAAGATCTTCAGTCAAGTAATGGCTAATACAAGACACATGGCTTCCTCATGGAAAGAACACCCAGGCCTACATAACTGTAAAGCAGATGGTATTAAAATAAGAAGAAATTTGATACATAGTCGTGTGCAAAATATATTGAGTGATCCATTTAATACTGAAGACAGAATTAACTTTATGAAGGAAGTAAGTATACCATACTGAAAGAAATACAATACAATATAAAAAGCAGCATTGAGTGACCTAATGTTTCAGTGCTGGGTGACATTAGTGCAATTTAAGTGATAAAATATACAGTAAGATTTTGTATTCAAATTTTCAGTTATTCTTTTATTTTACTTCATCAATGAGCAAGAAAATGTTTGGATTGTAATTAGTGTATCTGTAAATTTTTCTGTGCAGTTAAAGTATACTATAACTAATAATCTGGGCAATCAGTCTGCTGCAAGAAATCAAAGCTTGGCATGGGAGGTTCCTTCATTGAGAAAGTAAGCTTTTGGCTGGGAAAGGTTTGTGGGTGCAGCTTGCTAAGTATTTTCCACTCCCATATTACAATTCCCTCAGGGTTTGTCTTTTAAGCCCACAAAAGCTTGTTTCTGAATTACTTCATTAATGTATGTACAGATATATGCAAATGTGTAAATATATGTATATACAGTATACAGTAAATACACAGTACGGTATATATTTTTTCTATTCCCAAAGACCAATTCTGACAATAAACCTAGTGCATGGAAACCATGTGGATATGTCAAGATAAAACTAGGTCCCCACATTTTTTTAATGAAATATGTTAAAGACAGGGGGTTCTAGCTAAGTAATTGAGCTTCTTAAATGGGGGACAGGTTCATAAGTTGTGTCCTTGTTGCACTTCCTGGTCCTACAAAATGATTGTGAGATTTTTATTTGCAAATTTGCTTTAGATGTGCTTAAACTGTTCTACATAATAAGACTCTCATTAGATGATGAACAGTCAAAGTTGCCTGTACAAGCATTTTATCTTTTACAAAACTGGTCTCAATAGGGAGAGCATTTTCTATGGAAAATCAGAAGCCATTCAACAACCTACCAAATTACATATATAATTTGGAGAGTGAGGGCAAAGCATTTTACTAAGACAAAACTTACCAGCTATCACATTATTAAGGGTATAATCTTCACTTTTGTTTCCATGGTTCCTTACAACTCTAATGAAAATTGCTTTCGGCAAAACACACACCAAAGTGACAGTAACAAGTCATCATTATGCTTCAGACATGTCATGCTGCTGTTAAACCTTAATGTCAGTGAAAATGATACACACTAGTGATGAGAAAACTGTCACTATCACATCACTGAAAAACTCTGAAATGGACACAGTTTTCAATAATTTGTGTTGCATTACTATCACTTAGCTCAGTAGATTCACACACTTCTGAGAGAAAGGTTTGCTGAGAGGAGTGAAAGATGAAAACATTCTTAAAACAAATTCATGCAATGTTGTGAACAAAGTCGAGTGTTGAACAATTATTTTTTAAAAGACTACAGCAATAAAGAACATGAAAGGCATGGAATGCAGTAGCCCTGGATATGAATATTATATGCATTGAAGTACTGTGAAAACTGTATACACAAAATAAGAAATTAAAATTTAAAAACAAGAACTCAACAAAACGAGTTATTTCAAAGAAATTATATGAATTTTCAAATGCAACCCATCTGTAAAACAGAAATTACCCGGTAAGTAAAATTTGGCCTGTCTTTCCACTTACCTCAGAGTTACCAATAGATGTTCCTTAGGAGGAATAGCTAAGCAGTATTTCATGGCCATCTTAGTTGTTAGTGTGCCAACACTTCTGCTAATAGGTGGTAATTTCTGTAGGTTGTGGTTCAATTTGGTAATAATATTAAATGCTTGATTTACTTGAATTAGACAATGTATGTGCCCAGAACATTAAAACAATATTCTGCCCTTTTGTCCTAAGAGTATACAGCATTATCAATCATCACCTAAGAAAAAAGTCAATTGAAACCATTCTGGTGTGAACTAATGCACATTAAGGACATGTCAATAGCAAGTCATTGACTTGGCATAATACTTTGGTGTGTGATCAGCCTTAGACTGAAACCTATAGGAAATTAATTTATTATATATGATAAGTATTGCAGAATAGCCAATGAGTATATGTTAATTGAAGGCAACACTTGTACCTTAAAAATATCGAAGTTTGACACAGGACCAACAAGCAATTGCCTTGGTACCTGTCTTAAAGATCCTGACTCTCCTAATATCACATTCAAATAAGGCATATATCCTAATATAATTGATTCTTGATGTGCCTGAGAGCTGTCATTCGAGATATTAAAAGAGGCAAAACTCTATCAACAATCAGGAGAGGAATGAAGAACTTCTAAGGCTGGTAGGCAAGCACTACAAATATGAGCTACAATTTAAACTGAGCAGTTACCGGGACTTACAAGGAAGCACGGTCAAATATCATGGTCAACAGAGAGGGCAATTCATTCTAGGATCAAGGTTTATGCCACTTGGGAAGAAACCCAAGTTTAAGACAATCTGTTAATCTGAACACAACTTTTTAAATACCACAAAACTAATACTGTGATGAGATATCTTGCAAATATTGCCCCTTTACCAAAAGTTATAAAATAACCATCAGCTGAGCAAATCACATTCAAGTAAAAATTGTTCAAAAAAATCTCATACAAAATAATAAAATACTGCATTTGAAATGGTCAATACTTGATGTTGGTAAAGTAGAGCATACTAAGTAAAGTGAAAATAAATACAATAAGTATAGACTGCTATTAACCCCTGGAAAAGGTAATACAGAGATCATTTACCACTGTATGAGGAGAATACTCAGAAACCTTAAACCTTATCAACTAAATATAAATATGATGATAATACTTGTTCCTTGATATTTCAGTTGCAGCATCACTTGTAAATAATAAAAAAAAAAAAACATAAGTATATTTGAAGTTCCTTCAAAACTCCAAAATACTATTGCACATTACTATAAAAAATGTGCAATCTGGCTTTCTCAACACCTACACATCAGGAACATCCTGACCAACAATAAGCCAGATTCATAAAAAGTTCTGGAACTGCCCAAAGAGTGCTTCTTCTAATTTCAAAACATATTAAAGCACTAACATATTCCATTTATCTGAAAGCTTTTGCTGGAACAGTATAAAGCCTTCAGTCTTTCTAACAAAGATGAAGAGTGAGAAAAATATAAAGCCAGACAGTCGATTGATTAACACTGAGCAGTTGCAACAAGACTTATTTAATTCAATACACCCAAGCCTGCCACCATAGACATACGGGGCAGTATAAAATAAAGATTTGGTAAATATCTTTGACAATTTCATTTTTCTCTTTAGAGGCTACAAGTTGTGCTAGGAGCAATATTGATTTTCTACTTTTTACAAACCCTAAAACAAAATGTTTTTAGCTGGTCGAGTGGGAGCGCTTTCTCTTCCAGCAATCAGGATCAATCCGTTTTCTTTCCTCAGCCTGTGCACGAGCTTCAGCATTAAACTTCTCTCTGTCTTCTTCTGGTAGTGACTTCCACATGGTACCCAAGACAACTGAAATGGCTCTGAAAAAAAAAAAAAAAAAAAAAAAAATTAATTACACAGCAAAATATTGAGAGCTTCAGATGATGGAAACAACAGTTATTATTTTATGGGAAAAATAACATCAAAAGAAAGTGTTTTTAGGAAGCAAAATAAATACAGTACTGTACTGTACTGCATTAAGGCTAATAAACCAGCAATATAAATAATGTCCTATTTTCTATCTTACAGATTATTCTACTCAGTAAATTTGAATAACCTTCTCTATATTTCTATAAAATTATATACAATACTGTACTGTTTACTGCAATGAATAAAACCTGATGCAAATTTTGTATTCTAATAAATTATCAATACACTGTAATATGAAATTCTATTTCGATTAAAACAAAGGAAACATACACCGAACTGTTTATCAAACAGGTAGCTAATCAGTTAACATTACCATGACAAAAGACTATGCTTAAGGTAAAAAAGTCAACAATTAAAATTTTAGATAATATCAAATAGAAACAAAGATCTTGAGTTCCCTTTTCAAACAACCGTCTGATTACTGGGACTTTTTTCAAATTAAGCCAAATTGTTCAAAATCTCCCACATGGTTACCATGCGAGCCTCTTTCACCTATGTATACAGAGCCTGGCATCTGGTATACAATTCCACCCAGCATTTACACAGAACAAAGGTGCATGTGAAACCATGGCCTTATTTTCAACTCTTGGGTAACTTTTTGAGTAGAAACGTAAACAAATTATATCATAGTCATGTGTCACAGTATCTACTGTGACACTCGTGAACCTTAAACATATGACAAAAGGAGGGTTACATCTTAAGATAAAAAACAAGATGCGTGACATTTAAAACTCAAAGGGAATTACGGTCACAGTTTGCAGTTAAAACAATAGGAAAAAAAAAAAATTATATATATATATATATATATATATATATATACACACACATGTATATACAGTCGACCCTCGTTAATTCGGACTAATAGGGGGGGAAGGGTGTCTGTTTTAGCCGATTGTCCGAATTAACCGATTTAGGGGTTAATATTGTATTATATTTCAAAGTCATTGTATTCGTCACGATTTTATCCCACTTTCCACTGTAATACGTACGTAATTTCAGCAAAAATATTACATTTCCGTGAATGTATTATATCAAGCACAGTATGAATAGAATACCATTGTAATATAACAGTATTTTAACCGAAAACTACTAAAAAAACGAATAACATCTCAAGAACATCGGAAGCTTAGGTAAAGTCTTTTGTTTTCGTCATGTATTTTATCCTATTTTACATTGTAATACATCACGTTTCAGCAAAACTACTATTTATTTCCAAGAATATATTCATTCAGGCACAGTTTAGGTAAAATATACATGTGATGTAACAGTTTTTTAACTGAAAACGATTTGAAAAACACGTACCCTCTAGCCCTGTTCAAGGAGAGGACTGGGAGAAGCTGTTTGGTGCTGCAGACGATGACAAGGAAAATGATTTGGATGAATTTTAATGAAAATATTCAGAAATATGGTATCGTAGTATTTATTCAAGTCAATTAGGATAGAATATGATTGTAATACAACAGTTTTTTAACTGAAAACCAATCGAAAAGCGATTACGGTAACATCTTTTGAACGAAAGAAAGCGAAAGTCATTGTTTTCGTCACGATTTTATCCCACTTTCCACTGTAAAACGTACGTCATTTCAGCAAAAATATTAAATTTCCGTGACTGCATTATATCAAGCACAGTATGAATAGAATACCATTGTAATATAACAGTATTTTAACCAAAAACTACTAAAAAAACGAGTAACTTCTCTTGAACATCGGAAGGTTAGGTAAAATCTTTTGTTTTCGTCATGTATTTTATCCTATTTTACATTGTAATACATCACGTTTCAGCAAAACTATTATTTATTTCCGAGAATATATTCATTCAGGCACAGTTAAGGTAAAATATACATGTGATGTAACAGTTTTTTAACTGAAAACGGTTCGAAAAACATGTGTACCGTGTAGCTGATACTCAACAGCTGGTTGTGCGTCATGCGTCGTTGTAAACAATAGGAGGTTCAAGTAGATTACCGGGTATTATATTAAGTGTGAAATATCAAAAAGGTTTTTATTACCGGTATTTTTTGTAGATCAATGAGAACTGTGATACCATATATGATATGATAAGTTAGCCTCTGCTAAGAACTTCAACATAGACTACCGGTACTGAAAACACGTTGTAAGGTAATTTAGCCTATTGTAAGTTGGTGAGCTTCATTTGCTGAAGGAACTGCACAACTTTTCATTACTAATTGGTACAAATTTTACGTTTCCATTGTTTACTGGCAGTAAATGGCAAATATTTTTCATGTCTGAAGCTAAAAGTTGCATCCCCCCCCCACACTAGTGGTGGAGATGTTACATTTGACCAAACAGACGCTGGTGTTTTATCCCAGCAGTGGGTGGACCAGCATTTTAGCTTAAGGTCCGCGTAGGTAATATTCCTACAAATCTTAAAAAAAAAAAAAAAAAAAGTTCGTGGATAAGATAAATCTTGATAAAATCATTTTCCGTGTGATTTTATCAAGATATATATATATATATATATATAATATATATATATATATATATTACACACACAATTGGGTCTTCATTTACGTGGTCAATTGAACCCAAAAGAAGTACCGCGTAAAATGAGAAACACATAAATGAAATACCAGAAAATATGGGATTAATTGAAATAGAGACTGGGCCGACCCCCAAACTCCACTTTTTCCGACACAATACGTACCTTGTAGTCAAAATAACATCTTAATTTTATGATGGTATGCACACACAATTAATAATTAAGAGAAATATCAATAATATTAGTTTTTTTTAACGCTTACATTAGTAGAAAAGATGGCTGGGCACACGGGGATGGGGGGTTGGTTCCGAGGCAGAGGGCAGATTATTGGCCCTCACCTGTATCACTATCCACCACAGAGGCTTGCAGGGCCTCTTTGTCAAACCCCTCAAAGTCCATATCCTCACTATCACTGACTTGGGCCGGCTGTGGTGGGTGGTGAACTTGGTAATGTTTTGATGACTGGGCGACCTTGTGCACACCCTGCCCGCGCCGCTACCCACGTAAATGACCAAATTTGCCGCGTAAATCAAGCATTTCAATTCTGGCAAGGCACCGCGTAAATGATAAAACACGAAAACCAAAACCGCGTAAATCCTTATATATATACTCAGCGATTGGTTTACACAATGTAACAATTTAAACTTTTTGTTATTTCTTTTATTATTATTAATACCTTTACCAATGTTTTAATTTTTTTTAATTTCTTTTCATTTAATTTTGTTGGAAATTGTGAACTACTGTACTGCAGTTTTGGGTGAAGCTATCATTAGTTAAATCATTAGCGAAATTAATAAGAACTGAGGTGTTTTGCCAAATATCAGTATCGGTGAACGAGAGAAGTTCTTCTGTAGCATCAATGACAGATACTCCTTGTTTTTACTGTAGCTTACTGTAAAATTAGATCCACCTCCGAATAAATACAGGATAGTACAAGGCAAGTATTTCCTTTCAATACACCTTGAAATGATTCCCAGTCTGTGACAACTTTTTTATAAATCGTCATCAATATATTTTTTAATTCCGTATACCTGTACTAGTGATAAAAGAAATATTTTCATATTCTATATGTTTAGAATGATGAAACTGTACAGTACTGTCTTTTCAAACCATACCTGTTATCTTTGCCAGGGTACTGCTGAATAAGCCGAAGCCTGTGATGCTTAGCGAAGAGCATGAATCCGTTCATTGGCCTTCGAGCACGGTTGCCTCCACCCTCAGCACCTCCAATGGCTCCCCCAGTCCCACGAACATCTCGACTTTTCTTTGAAGGTGATGCAGGTGGTGAGAGGAAGACTGTGCGGTGAGTGTGTGGTGGGAAAGTAGCACTAGGGGGTGCTGAGTATGCACCAGGGCCTCCTTCTACTGGGTCATCATTGAAGTCAAACCTAAGGGTAAAATGGAATTCACTTATTCCATATAATTTGATAGCCTTCCAAATATTAAGTGTAGATGCTATGCCATGGGTGGGCAATGATTTTAACTAATGGGCCACATCAACAGCTTAGGTAAGTTTCACAGGCCACATGCTTTTTGTCAATGTAAAATTGTAAATGTTTAATAATACCGTATACAGGTATAGAGAAAAAAATAGAATTGAAATACGTTAAAAATTAGGTTATATAAAAATTTAATTGTGCAGTAAATGCATTACATATTAATGAGAAACAAACTCTTTAAAGAATAGAAGCATTACTGTACACTTGTTGCATGAAATAAATGGGCTAAATAAAAAAGAAATTAGATGTAGCAGTATATCACATAGCTATGAGGTACATAAGTGTACTATACGTACACTCTATTGAAAAAATAAACTGAACACTTGCTACAAAAATACAAGCAGTCTTCACAAACCTCTTCATGGCATCAGCAAGGTCTGGAGTAACAACAGGGATGGGAGTCTGAGTAGTTTCTGGATGGTAAGGTGGGAGACACACATCTCCTTCCTGCAGCTGTTGGCATGGAAGGCTATACCTTTCACTTGTACGTTCTGGGAACACGCTGCACCACCCTTTAAGTTAGAGATACAGTTTGTCATGATAAAAGAATGTCTTCCTTAAAACTAGTAATTTGTTCAACAAATCAACCAGTTATATATAACACTAATGGAATACTCTATGTGAAATGCTGCCATTGTAAATCTTGAAAAATCCTTTACTGAAAACACATGATAGGGGAGGGGGCTGTATTAAAAATGAGTGAAGAAACGGTATATTAAGTATTGTAACAGGAAACCTTATCTAACCCTCCCACATTTGACCCCAGATATGACCATGTTTATACCCCTCCTAGTAACGATGCAAGACTCTTAATTGTTAAAATTTAAGATGGCATAAAGATAAATAGAAAAATGGATATTTTACCACCAGTATATAAACTGGCTGAAGGTACAGTACATAATTACTTGTGTTGCTACCTTTCTTGTCAGTTATAAATCCTGGTTTTAGCTATACAGTACACTATTTAAATCATAAGGACCTTGTTTCTCTATAACTGTATTACTTTAATGAAACTTGTTAGCTTTCCATTTGTTATTTCTATTTCCAGCAGAATAAAAACATAATTTAAAATAAAACAGTTCCACTTGTTTAAAATTCCAAAGAATTGTTGTATGATGTTGAGATATCTCAAACCAACATTTTCTATGTAAATTAGCAACACTTACCTTTTCCATGTACATAGAATGGATGATCAGGAGGTGTGATGACCATGATATCTTCCTGCTGTACCATGACAGGCCGAAAATATAGTTGGCAATAACTTGGTGGACCAGACATGTGCGATGATGATCCCTCGTGAAGAATACGCATTAGATGCAAGCCATGGGGGGCATACCGCTGTTGATGGGTTCGTTCTAATTGACCCAGTTCCTCACTCAGTCTTGCTCCAGTTACTTGACCACCTCCGCCCAAAACAAAATGAACACGTACTCCTGACATGAAGACAGACCATACATTTGTGGGCCACTGATGGCCTGATGTTGGCTGAGGAGATATTGATGAAGGACAAGGTGATGAACCTGGTCCCAATCTATCTGAATGTCCAAGGCCACTAAGACCTTGTGGTCCCATTGGGCCACCCTGGAGATGAGGAGAAGGTAAGTGCGGAGACACGTGGTGCGGAGAGGGCATATGTGGTGATGGCACATGGGAATAAGACACGTGACAATCTGCTATCATTCCCTCATTCTCTAACTCCTCTCTGGAGGAGTTTAGGGATGATGTGGATGGATGAGATGGTGCTGGAGACAAAAGGGAGGAAGGAAGACCCCCTATAGCAGCTGTAGACAAATTTAGGGGGCCCTGTGTTCCACCAGACATATCTCCAGTACCAAAGGATGAGCCATTAGAGTTTCCCTCACTGAATGGAAATCTACTAGTAATTACTGGGATGGCAGAGTGAGGGTGAGGGGTATGAGGTGTATGTGGAGTGGGCAGTCCAGGAATTCTTAACGATGATGAAGATGAAGACGATGACGAGGATGGTATCCCTGTAGACGGCTCGCGCACCTCAGCTGTAGATCTGATTACTCCTTGAGTTGCTGTAGCTGGCAGTTGGAGACCTTGAGCTTCCAGTTGAAATGACCAGCTGTGGGCTCTGTAATGATACAAGATACTAAAATTACTATTAGGCACCGAAAAAATGAACACTACTGTTTAGACAAAATCATTTGTAAACCTTTTCAAAATTCTATAGAATCATTGCAGATTCCTTCCCTTACTCTCCCTTTTCTTTACCTATAAAGGATGCTTTATTTTTCATGAGGTCAATTTTAATCACTAGTTCAATTCATAAATCAGTAAAAGCAAAATTTAAGTAGCTACAGCATAATTGTTTTCAGCACAGAAGGTAAACAACACACTCACATAGTATTCACTTTCAGTACTGTATCTAATATCTTGTGGCAATAATTTAAGCTAACCAGATGTGTCAAAATGTACTAAAATCTACTTGAGATGCTTCCTACCTTTTTCTAAGGGGTAAGTTCTTTTGTGTAAGTGGTGACTTTGGGCTGGTGGTGGTGATGGCTGCAAACTCGGGAATCATGGCCTCTGGCTCCAAATTTCTCTTGCTTAGGTCTAGCGGAGGAGGCACTGGACGCATCTAAGGAAGTCAAAAGTAACTTGAAATGAGAGCCAGAAAATTTTCGAGTGTATCTGATGCACTCAACAACCTGTTGAAAAGAGATAAGGATCATCTTGAATTAACTTTAATTTTTTCTTTACTTTCGGCAGAGGGATTTTTTTCATAATTTAAAAAACATATTTATCTGGATTATACTAAATGGGTTTCAGGGATGTGAAACTTTTGAATCCATTAAAATTCTTTCTTTTTACAAGAAAATTATATCAAAAATTCATAAAAAGATTTAGCACTGCTACTGATCTTTTGTCAATTAAGCTCTTTGTAATCTTAATGTAAATTCTGCTGTATAAAAACTGTCCACTGAACACTCCTAAAAAGTTCAACTCACTCAGCTTCTACCTGACTTACAATTCCCTCCTCCCATTTAGAACAAGAATTAAGACACTTTAGCAATATTCAGGTTCCACTCATTCTTTGCTGCTAGCCAATTACATGTTTACAAGTTTGGTCACTATGAAAATATAATACACTTTCCTTTACTACTGTGCCTCTCTATGGAATAATATCAGTGAGTAAGAGATAGCAATCATACATCTGACAGATGGATGATTTACTCAGCAGGAACATTATTGCCAATACTTGTCCTTTTGCCTAAAATACTTTACTATCTGCAAGAAAAGTTAATTTTCTATACTACTTTAATTCAATGTTACACCTACTGTCATGCAACAGGAATTAAGTTAAAAGAATAGTATTTACAGTACTGAGGTTTAATACAAGACACTGTAGAATTCTAGATGATAACTTGATCTAATTAAGTAAACTAACAATTACAAAATATTGAAGCAGATCTACAAATACCTGTACTGACTTGTATTGTCTGTTAGATATGCTATAGTGACAGGTTGAATTTAACACAAGTATTTACTATTGCTATGAAAAGTTCATTCTTTTTTACACAGTACAATACAGAGTATTGGTTTTGACTACGTACTGTTAAAAGAAGTGACATGAAAATTTATGACTGACTACTGCCCTGAATTACATCAACATATCTTTACTTGGCTACAGACAGGGTCAGTGATTTTTTTATTTAAACTAGATTTATCGGTACAGGTACAGTATTTCACTTATTGTATTTATTAGATTTTTTGTACATGCTCAAGATACTCTGAAACAAGTAAAAAAAATCCTTTTCATTACTATAAGTTCCTGTAACACTAATAACACTAAGTTATTGCAGCAAAATATTGTAGTTAGCTACTTAAACAGCCAGGTCATCTACGAGGTTGAATTAGAAATGTGAAAACACAAATCTGCCCATGAAAACTTACATAATTGATCTTCTGTGCTTCTTAATTTATGGTTTCTCTTTATCCCCCCTCCCAATAAAAATAGTAGTGAATACAAATTTTAGTAAGGTTTCAAAATTACCCCTAAGTACAGCCTTAAGTCTTACCATAATCTCTTGTACGCTCTAGTGGCACTTCTAACCAGTCCCCATCAATACCACCGTTACTAGCATGACTGCATGTAATATACCCGTGAGTTTGTTTACAAGAATGAAGTTCAGTGAACCGTACCTGATGTGTCTGAAACCCTCAAAGTAGTAATAACAAATTAAACCACTTACTGATATTAACTTGATCATAACTTTTTACACAATAAAGAGATGTTTATTTGTATGGTAGATTTAAAAAGGTAAATGTGTAAACCACTGTACACGAGAAGATGAATATATGTTCCTATTATTGAGGTCCAGGAAATGAACAGTTATACTGCACTGTACTTTACTTTATCCTCTTCACCTCTGACCGGCACGTTAGCCACCTGGACGATCAGTCATATCTATGTTATGCACCATTGGCAAGTATATACAGGACATGTACTGGTTCTAGAATGTATGTGATACCTATACTGTACTACAGTGATTAATCAGTAGTTATAATTTTCTGCATACATTGATTTAAATGAACAATAATAAAAAAATTATTTGATTTAAATCAACCAACCTGGCTAAATACTGAAAAATGTCTTTGAAATAATAAAGTAGTATACTGCAGACAGATGGTACAGAATATCAACGAGGGGAACAAAGTAATTCCTGTGTTCTTTTATTTTTGTTTTAATAAATTAGTGGCAAATGACATACGAGTACAGTACTGTACTGCACATTGGAAAAAAACAAATAAATAAAATAAAAATAATTATATATATACAGTATATATATATATATATATATATATATATATATATATATATATATATATATATATATATATATATATATATATATATATATATATATATATATATATATATCTTGATAAAATCACACGGGAAAAGGGAAACAATGGAGCACCTTAGCTCTCGTCTTTATTCAAGACATCTTCAGAGGCAACAGTTGCCTCTGAAGATGTCTTGAATAAAGACGAGAGCTAAGGTGCTCCATTGTTTCCCTTTTCCCGTGTGATTTTATCAAGATTTATCTTATCCACGTGGTTGGGCCACGTATCCTTACCACCCATGCACCCCCTCCGCTGCGCACTGTGATTGGTCTAGTTATCCTTGCGACCCCTGCCACCCACGCTCTCCATCACCGCCGCGTCAGTCTCACTGTCCCCACGTAGATTCACTTGTGCCCAGGAACTGGTTTTGTTTTTTGTTTCTACACAATGGCTTCTGCTGGACCCCCACCACCCCTGAGAAGCCCTGAACTACCTGGCCCAAGCTGCCCCAAGCCCAAGGTGTAACGCGCCGTAAGCTATGAGGTAAAGTACAAGATCGTCCAAGAGTTAGAAAAAGGCAGGAGACAGGTGGATCTGCCCAGACAATATGGAGTGAATGAATCGACGATCCGCACTATCAATAAGGATGCCGGCAAAATCAATGAATACATGAACATTACCAAGTCTGTAGGTGCCTCGCTGGAGAAATATTGCCACAATAAGGTGCTGCTGAAGAGCGAGAGTTTGTTGGTAAGCTACATTATTCGTCAGTCAAGAAGGAACATGGCGGTCGACACTCGGACTACGCCCGAGAACTCTACACAGTGACAAGAAAAATGGGGTTTGCGGAGCCCAAGCCCTTCAGTGCTTCCGCTGGGTGGCTGCAAGGTTTTAAATGACGCAACACAATCAGAAATATTGAGATAGTCGGAGAAGGAGTAAGTGCCGACCGGGCTGCCGCCAGGAATTTTCTCCAATTTTTACAGGAAATTATGGAGGAAGGCCAGTACATCGACAACCAAGTGTTCAATATGGATGAATCAGGGTTATACTGGAAGAAATTGCCATCCAAGACCTTCGTAGTCAAGTCTGCTAGCAAATGTCGGGGACGCAAAGTGCAACACCGTACTGTTCACCACCAATGCCTCTGGCGCTGCTAAGCTAAAGTTGTCTGTGATCCACAAAGCCCGCAAGCCGCATGCCTACAAGAAATGGACATGAACAAGTTAAATGTCCACTGGCTAACCTCAGGGAAGGCATAGATGTCTCTGGTCTGACCTCTCTTGGTTTGACAACTGTCTCGTTCCTGATCTCAAGAAATTCTGCGTGGAAAATAATGTGCCATTCAACATTTTGTTGCTCCTTGACAACGCACCAGGACACTCCCCCCTTTTGCTGGATTGTCACCCCAACGTAAAAGTGGTCTTCCTTCCCGCTAACACTACGTCGTTAATCCAGCCCATGGATCAGGAGTTGATTTGCAACGTGAAGGCTGCTTTCTCCGGCAAGAAGTTTTGGCTCCTGAACGACTTCACCAACACCAAGGATGAACTGTAGAACCTTCTGAGTGGCACCGAGAGCGAGGACAAGGAACACGAACAAGATTTGGCAGACCATGAAGTGGAGGTCAAGCAGTTCTGGAAGCTGTTTAATGTGAAGAAGGCAGTTGATTTCTTGGTGGAGGCATGGGGGCAGCTATCTGTGGCAACGATTCGGTACGCGTGGCGTCATGTGTTGGAGGGTATCCCAGGAGGCAGAGGCAAGCGGTGGCTGGAGAGGCTCAGTCTGTTGTTGTGGCATTGGAGAATGCAAGAGAGGCTGCACAAAGTGTTAGAGCTGCAGGCTTCTCCGAGACCACCAACGACGACATCAGTGAGCAGCGAGGTGTTACAGAACAACAAGAGCAGAAACTAACACATGCTGATGTGAAGGATGTCATCAAGTTAGCCGAGAGAATGAAGCTCATCCTTGCCAAAGACCCAGTCAATCATCACTACGAAGTGTCTAATAACCTTCTGTTGCAATGCATGGAGCCCTATACTCAGATGTATCACGACCACATCAATGCTAGCCGTCAACAAAACATCACCGAGTTCTTCACCCGCCAACCACCACAGCCAGCCCAAGCCAGTGATAGGGACTTCGAGGGGTTTGACAAGGAAGCCCTGCTAGCCTCTGTGGTGGATAGAGATACAGGTGAGGGCCAATAATCTGCCCTCTGCCTCGGAACCAACCCCCCATCCCCGTGTGCCCAACCATCTCTTCTACTAACGTAAGTGTTAAAAAACCTAATATTATTGATATTTCTCTTATATATTAATTGTGTGTGAATACCATCATAAAATTAAGATGTTATTTTTACTACAATGTACAGTATTGTGTCGGCGATAGCCAAAAAAAAAGGGTAGTCCGGTGGTCGGCCCAGTCTCTATTTCAGTTAATCCCATAGGTTCTGTTATTTCATTTACGCGTTTCGCTTTATACGCGGACCTCCATGGGTTTAATTAACCTCGTAAAACCAGACTATACTGTGTGTATGTATATATGTATATGTATATGTATATATATATATATATATATATATATATATATATATATATGCTGATAACAAGGAAGAAAGAAGAACACGAAAGTTCCCAAAGCTGTAATTCACATCTTCAGGGTGTACAGACTAAAGAGGAACACAAAACAAGGTGTATATATACAGGAGGTGAGACCAGGTCACAATGGTCAGGTATTAGGTAATGACCCTACTAATCTTTAAATAGCGGCAATGGTCGGTAGTCACGTACCTGATGTGGACCTGGTACTCCTCGCCTGTCTTTCTAAAGACTAATCACCTACAGTGATTTACTTGCACCATATATATATATATATATATATATATATATATATATATATATATATATATATATATATATATATATATATATATATATATATACAGCTCCTCCCCGACTTACGACCACCCGCACTTATGACCTGCCTCAGTCGTACCAAATTTGTTTTAAATTACTTATTTTTGAGTCCCAACGTCAGTACACAGACAAAATTTTCGTTTGTAATTCATTTTAAAATGGCTGGCAAGCTTAAAAGTGAAAGTTTTGTGGTGGTGAGAAGAAAAAGGGTCACCCATTTTAGATTTTCTATGTATTATTTAAGCATTTTCGACTTATGATCTGGATTTGAGTCCCTAACCCCGTCGTAAGTCGGGGAGGAGCTGTATGTATATATATATTATTTTATTTAAGTAAGTTTATTATAATTCAAAAAGATTTTCAGTTTCTACTGAATTATCTGTTTCATATTGCGCAAGTGTTGAATAAATTCAGAATTATATCCTGTATGAGAATTTTAACTACCGGTAATACTTCACAAGAAATTCATTACTGAAGAGGTCATATATACCTTGCGTTTAATGCTTAGGTCACGGGGCTCCTCGGGGGACGGGGAGTGTGATGACTGGTGGGGATCTGAGCCCATGCTGCCCATCAGATCGGGTGACATGCGCTCTTCCTCTGCCATGTTGATGTTCATTGTCTTAGACAAGTGCTACAAAAAACAAAAACAAAAAATATTACAAACAATGTTTATTAAAGTTAGTGTAGGCATTGCAACATTTTTCTTTGGTAAATGTGAAAAAGCAGAACATACAACAAATACAGTTTTGAACCCCAATGAGTCATTTCAGTACTATCTTAGGAATACAAATAATACAGTAAATGAAAACCATTCCCTCTCCTGCCTAAACACAAAACATTATCTACGTACAGTATTTTCACTTTTGAGAAATTTGGTGCAATATAGTACGATGAAACACAACTATATCCATAAAACAAACAACCGACACAAAATAATTGCAAAAATTTTTATTTATACAGCACAGCACATATAAAATACCTGTATTATGAATATGAATGAATACTGTCACCAGCTTAAAAACAACGATGGTATGCAGTATGTTATATGAGTATATAACTGTGTAACCATAATACAGTACAGTAGTTCACAAGCAACCATGTAAATTGATTGGGTAAAATATCTGATGTCGCAGCCTGTGGCCATTAGATGTCAAAAATGAAACCTATAATTTAAAACTATGACATAATTAAAATAAAATGCTATTAAGTTTAAATATCAAAATTAAAATATAAAAATCTGTATTCGACCATGTAGATGAAGATTCACACACAAATACATACTGTACACTCACTCCAAAAAGTATTGTTACGATTTTGTGTGAGGCTATTAGACACAAAAGATGAGGGATTTCGATGACCCTACCGAGACAACAGAAGCCGTGGTGTTCATTTTGAAATTCATCGGACCCTTCCGTAAAGATACCTTTTGGAGCAAACGTACATACATAAGCATATACAGTATATGAACTATTTAAAATTAATACTGTATAAATATAAATGATAGCAACACTCACAACAGATTATACAGTAGTACATACATAAAAACATAGATAAATGGTGGGTTGATCCTAAAACCCGATTTTATATCAGACTGAGCGGCTCACTAAGAAATTACCCAAGTTAGCCCCTTGAAGAAGTGGTTGATATTAATTTCACCTTGTCCCTGAGACCAGAGCCCAAGAGATGGTTCTCTCAGGAGTTGCCATTTATAGCCCTCTTAGCACTAAACTTCAGAGGTAAAACCATACAATATCTCAGAAAATATACACATGGGGGTTCATAAACTGAGCAAATGGAAAGGAAACTACTACTTTTCCTATTCTCAGAGACAATATCAAAGAAGGAATCAGATCAGGATTCTTCCAAAGCTGAGAGAGGAAACCAAATTCTGCTTGGCCAAAAAGTTACACAACTACAGTATACAGTAGTTACCTCTTGAAACTTTAATAAATAAATAAATATGTCTCTATGAAGGATACCGATAAATCTATTTCTATAGCGGATATGGGATACATATAAATTTGTCTCGTGTATTCCTATCCAATAAAAAGGCATCTCTCCCCTGGATCCCTTTTAAAGGAATTGGTAATGCAAACATTGGAAGCTTGTGACTGTTCAACACTGTAAGTACAGGAGGTCTATCACTAGATCAACCCATAGATATTAACCCAGATAAAGACTTTTGATGTGCCATCCATTCACACTGCATCAAACCAGCCCATAACAAAATAAGTCTTTATATTTAATGTCCTAAAGAGTGCATGGCCAAAACAGAACAGAAAAGAGCCACAGTTATAAAAAAAAAACAAAAAAAAACAAAAACGACCTTTGACATCTTCCAGATGGAAAAGGATTCTTGAGGAATGCCAGTTTAGCTGTATTATCCACCAATATATACAGTACTGTAATGGCTTCTCCCCATTATCCAAGTTCTAAAACTATTCATGAATGAGCTAGGTGCTTCTTCAAATTTATATGGATCCATTTCAGTGGCAGAAACCAAGTTTCCACAATCTACAGACAGGATTGCTGCCTCTGATGAACGAAGAACCCAACCCTAATTTGATGCACCTATCGTAACAAAATGGTGAAAGTTGATGTGTCTACAGGACCTATAACGATTGGTGTCACTTTTTCCTCTACCACGTCAATATATCTCTGAAATGTGAATAAAATCATCTGATTTCTGAATCTTGCCTCTAGGTACTGATTCACCATCATCACAACTGGTCTGAGAACTGCCTTCTTAATAATACTACTTAGCTTCCACAGTGCCTTCTAGCGGTTCTGTGAGATATTCTTTTCCTTGACCCAAGAACCCTTAATTATAAGCAGAATTACTGGATTTGTCAAAACCAAGAAAAAAATGAGTCATATTGAGTGTTTTACCAGAGATCTAATTTCTAACTGGGGGTCAACCTTGATTTTTCCTAGCCTAACAAAGGGTCTGTTTATGAGTGTCAGGATCACTCTTTGAATGTAACTTTGTGTCATCCACAGAGAGGGGCACAAACTCTACAAATCCTCCGAGTAAATGTCAAAAAGAGTTTCCTTAAGACACAGTATCATTCAATGCAACATTTTGTACTAACTCATCAGTGAAATCCAAACTGGGTCACAACAATTAGTGAATCTTCACACAATGAAGTTAAAAGACAGTACCTGTACAGTACAGGTATTTATCTTTTAGGTAAACTCCTTTATTATAAAAATGCATTGACTGTGTGGCAGACCCAATAACAGATTCTAAGAAAGCACTTATCTGTCCCCAATAGTTGGAGCATCCTCATCCAGTGAGGGTGGTTTGTTCCTGGAGTCTCATATTACGACAGAACAGACAACCTGCTCACTTGGCACACAGCTCAATTAACCTCCTACTTTAAATGACAATTCCTGCATCTTTGTGAAATTTTGTAGGCTCTAGCTGTAGAGGGGAGGTGTAAATAATTACACGATTAGGTCGAACACTATATCAAGTGGTAATCCTAGGTTACAACCTCACAGACTTTGTTGACAATGTTATACGAGGTGCGATCCAAAAGTTCCCAAATGGCTTCATAAAATCTTTATTTTTCAAGATACTGTACCTGTATTTCAATGAAACTTTAATCACCCTCAAAATATTCTCCAGAGGCCTCAATGCAGCGCTGAATCCGCTCTTCCCACTTCTGGAAGCAGGTCTGGAAGTCCTCGTTGGTGAGGCTGAAAAGCACCTTCTGCAATTTTTCTTGGATCTCCATTCTGTCCATTAACTTCTTCCCCTTTACGTTCAACTTGAACTTCAGAAACAGCCAGAACTCACAGGGGGCCTAATCTGAAGAATACAGAGGGTGGGGGACCACCGGGATGCTGTGCTTCACCAGAAAATCATTCACAGAGGAGAGTGTGTGCACAGGTGCATTGTCCTGGTGAAGCAGCCAATTGCCGGTCGTCAGTCGGAATCCGGTTAACATTTTCATATGAGAGGTCCAACCGCTCGGCAGTCTCATGGACGGTTACCATACGATCTTCATGGACAAGCTGGTAATTTTTTCTGGACATTTTCATCATTTCTCTCAGCAGAAGGCGTCTGAAGCCAGTCCGGGAACTTCTGGATCACACCTCGTATACTGGTACAGTATAAGTGTTATGGCAAAGACTTTGGTCAATCATTTAATCAATACTAGTGGTCTCAATCTTAGGTAAAACATTTCCTTGGTAATAAACACTGAGGAACATGAGAGTGGTTTAGCCAATTTCATGATACTGAACTGAGATAAAGGTAACAAATTAAATCATCAACTAGTGCAAACATAGAGTTATGGTAATGACAAAATATATCTTAGCAGTTAAACAAGACTAATTCTACTGTGACAAAGTACAGTATACAGTACTGCAGTGTGACATAATTAACATTCAAATAACAAATAACTTATGATGAATCTCAAGACAAACATCAATTCCACATGGTGTACAAACATCATACACTCCACCACTCCATTTAACTCATCTAATAAATAAAATAATAGTCAATCATTTTCTTAGTCAAGCTATATATACTGTACAGTAGTTAACCTAAATCAATACACATGTACAGTATTTATAAAATTTCTTAATTGGAATAAAAAATGGGCCATTATAGTAGTGGACGAGTGGAACAAGTTACCAAATATCTTCAACTCGAATACGCTGGATAACTTCAAACATAGGCTGGATGGATATATGAGCGATGGGGGTTGGGTGTAAACAGGACTGCCCAGTATGGGCCAATAGGCCCGCTGCAGTATCCTCCATTCTTTAGTTTAGAGCTAACTAAAACACCCAATTAAGCACCACAAACCTGGATATATCAATGGCTATTCAAATTTCATGAGGAAATAGAACCGAAAGACATGTTTAGTGACAAAGAAAGACAGGATGAATAAAATTAAGAAAGTTGGTACAGAAAATATATAAGAACAATTAACAAATAAAAGGAAAATAAATAAAAGTGGGGAACTGAATATGAATGAAAGAATTAATGAGAAAAAAGAGTGAAAATTATGACAAATTAAACAAATGTCGAGTAAGTGAAATATCAAGACAAACTGAGAGAGAGAGAGAGATTGTGTCTGTACCATGAAACTGAGGGTCAGGGGCAGGCAAAACACCAAGGAAACCCTGAACCACATGATGTGCCAGGCTTATCAATGGACTGGAATGCCATGGATCAAGGGTTTTTCCCACAGCTCTGTAAAAATTAGACACCTAATATACTGTAATTATTTCACTTATATAATAATAATCAGAAAAAAAAAGCATACAGCGACAATCATTACAATGAATTTAAAATGAGTACATAAAATCATATGACTAAAGCAACCCTCCTGAGAGATGAAAGAGTTTAACTTATCTGAAATCAAAAAAGTTCAAGTGCTATATAAACATTACCAAGACTTCATCAAGAATTTAAACCAATAAACCTTTAAATACTAATTCACAAAATGAATGAAGAATACTGAACCCTGAAAACTGGTCCATGTTGTTGCTCATAGACAAAACCTGTCACTAGTTTGTATGGTCCCCGTCAATACCTGAGCCTCTTAGACCATGGTAAGTGTACGCCTTGCATCTCGAATTGAATTTTGCTGTGTAAAATCTTATGAATAATATGGACACTATTTTCTTATAAAACAATAATATCTTCCACCCTAATGAAATACAATACAGCACCAGTGCTACTCTAAAAGAACATTTTTGTATCTTCATAATAAAATACAGGTAACAATACTTTCAATTCCGTACCATCCTTGTAACATTCCTTCTAAGTCCATAAAAACAAAAAAATTAATGAACATTAAAAGTATACACTATCTTCTTTCATTCACTGAAGAAAGTAGGTATTTTGCTGAACTACCTTTTATATTCATATTTTATCAACTATATAAAACTGCCAAACTGTACTGTATACTGTACATACTCTTATTTGACAGCCACAGTAAATTCTTGAGTTTATATAAACATAGAGCTCTTCTTGTGAATGTAATTAAAACTTTTAACATACCTTAATCTTGGATTACTGTACATGTAAAACTTAGAATGAAGCCACAGCCAAATACTGCACACATATAAAGCCTGTTCTTGAATACTTACACAAGAGATGATGTGAATGTCCTTAGTAGCTACAGAGACTGGCACATACTCCTTGATGACCACAAATGTAAAAATCACATTTCAAATTCCAAAAACAATGATCACAATAAACAATCCTTCCTTTACAAATGTCATGCTCATTGTTACCTGGAATACAAATATTGTATGCTTCCTAATATGGTCTCAGTATATTAATACTGGACATATTATTGTTACTAAAAAAAATATTGCCTCATCATTTATTCTCACACATTAATTAATAGCTTTATAATCAATTATATAATCAGTGATCTAATGAAATTCAATATATCATCTTTGCAGTGAGTATCTGAACACAAAAATGCCAATGGCCAATACAGTATCAGAAAAATAAAAGTGAACAAGATTGCTTCATATTAAATACAGGAAAAATACAGAACTGTTCAATACTCCTATAAAATATTTTAAACCACCAGGGCAAACCCTAACCTAATAATTCTTGGGTAGTAGGTTGTGCCCGCTGAACTATAGATGGTTTGCGAGTCATGTTTGTGCTATTCTTTTAAAAATGACCACTTTGCCTGTTTCTTTGTACAGCATCACTGCCATCATAAGTAAGACATGGGAAATCTAACCTGACCTGTATTTCTTTCTTTTTTTTTCAAATTTTTATCTTTAGGGTGATTTCAGAATACTACTGGCACATGCACATAACACCAATAGCAGTAGAAAATCAAACTTTAGCACTTCCTTGCATTCTTAAAAAATATATAAATAAATAAATAATGTCCAAACAAAATCATTATATATATACCAGTAAGGCAGGAGAGTTCCTTTATGCCAGGCAAACACACTTTGACATGTCAGGTATGCTATTATAAACAGTGCTAACATTATGTGGAATGGAGTGGAAGCCTATTTTACATAGTAGTTCAAAGACGAATGGTAGTTTTGCTAAATAACAGGCCAGACTTACACTCTGATTCTTATTTCCAAATGATGTGAGACAAAATGAAGAACTACGGAAATACTGATGTGAGGTAAAAGCTAAGATGAAGCATAAATCAAAGCTATGGGCGCTATAACATTTTTGTATATACCCCGTATAATTTAAAAGATGATCATTACCTCTACACTTCATGTATACAGCACTAGAGCATAATCATATGAAACATTACCTTTAGCTAGCATTAGTCAACCTAACCCAAATACAAATCAATGCAGAGCTAATAAAGGTTCATTCTATAAAACACTTTCATAAGATCCATAGAGTAGCATTGTGTCTTGTAAATTATTACTACACTTCATTATACCTTTCACCTTCATACTTCTGATTTATTATATCTTATAACCAATCCAATCAAAAACCAAGTCTTCATGTGTGCCATTTTTCAGCCTTAAACCCCAAACACATTATACTTTAACTTACTAGGAGACATTATTTTTTTAAGTACAAACTTACAATTTATTTCCCTTCAACTTTACCTAGTGTTACCGGTACTTTAGGAATAACACAACAAATGTTCCTTTTAAAAAACACTTTCCACATTATCGTACAATAAAATATACAGTATTAAATTACACACCATTTTCTTCACATTTTAAAGTAGCTTATTTCTAGTGATCTTTATGTCATTTTCACATTAAACCACTGTACAAAACTTGATTCAATGTAGCTACCCAATGGGCAAAGTACAGTACTGTACTTAAGAAAATTTGCACAGTGCACTGTATAAGAATTATTTTAGTGCTTAAGTGCTTCACAAAGATAGTGTAAATAAAAAATAAATTTGAAAGTATGAAGGAAACTTATCATAGCTGACATTGTCAAGCTCAATGGAAATTCGGAATGATCATAATATAATTTCTTTAAAATTCCAAAATTTCTTGTTTACTCTTGTGACATTTTCTGTATTTAGAACTAAGTGAAAACCTTAAAAGGTCACAGATGAGGATTTTATGAAGCGGGCTACTATTTTAGTCATCGATTTATGATAACCAAGCAAGTTCACTTATGTCAAAGTAAACTTCACTACTTTGTTATGACAGTTTTTAAAATAATTATAAAACTTTTGAGGTTACTTAAATGTAGTATACTGTAATCACATTCAGTGCTAAAAAGAACTTTCCAATTAAAAACAACAGCAACATTTAACTTTCAAAAAGTGGAATCTTACTTTAGTTTTGGTAGAGACTAGTGACAAAAATTGTAGTTTCAATCTGTCAAATAAACCTGACTTTTAAATGTTTCACACCAAAAGTTAGGATGTTTAAAATAAATGTAGTGTTACTCCTGATTATTATACATAGATGTAAACTAATAATTTGTTCACGACTAAGAATTTGATATTTCAACGATTTTAATAATTCTCAAGTCGAAAATACAAAAATAAATTGGGCATTAATTGCAATCGAGTGTTGTGTTTGGTAGTAAAGGTGTCACTACTGTGTGGACTTACAGTTTGGTAGATGGTGTGCAGAAGATAATAGTGAAGTGGGTAGGGTGAGCGCCGTGGTCTGACGATAGGGCTGGGAATCAACAAGTGCACATCTTTCGAAGAGTCAAGTACAGGCACCACTCCTCATCACTCACTAGCAGTTCATAACGTTTCCTGGGCCCATTTCCAGTTATAAGCGGCGTCGCAACCTTCCGTGAAAGTGTCAGCCGTCAGTGAGCTCCGGGCGCCATCCTACACAGTGTGATTCAGGGAAAGGGACTTACCGAGCCAGCACATCGAGCCTCCGCAACTGCCTTCGCCAAAACAAAACACCGCTAATCAACAAGGTTCCAATGTTATTCCACCACGTGAAATAATCCTTTAGTGCACAAAATTTCATCACTATAGCAGTACATAGTGTAAGTAACCTATTAATATTAAGTCGAGTCAACAAGAAATTTTAAAGCCAAGTACGGGGAGGATGAGCGTCTGCTCAGCACGAGGTGCGAGTAAGTTTTAAGAGACTTGGCGGCTCGACCGCACTTTTTACTCGAGGTTCCGTGACCATGACCTCAGAGCTAACCAGTGTTGCCAAGTGTACAGTTATGGATACTTATTTATTTTAGAATTATTCTTAGAAATTGTATTGACATATTCTGATTCATTATAAAAGATCTAACTATATATGTAATTTTGTGAAAACAGGGTTGATCTTTAAGACTTGTAACGGATATATGCAAATAAGTTACTTGGCAAGGCAAGGACGTTAGAGGCTACAGCAGGTGGACTGGAGGCAGGTTGGCACGGGCGTTAAGAGCTCTGGACATCCAAACTCTTACAAGATTTATATTTCTTGCTATATTACACCTATGATATGATAAAAATTTTACTATATGTTATTTATGAATGTATCAACACGATGTATAAGCATTGTCAGTTCACTTGGAAAGTAAGATCGGCAGATATAAAACATTTCCATAATACGACGTGGCCACTTTTCCAAAGAAGGTCTTACCCCTACCTTTGGCCAGAGTTGCTCATCCAACCCGCTCTTCGTCCATTTCTGTCTTTGTTGACTCGGGTTTACATCCTTAAACATTTTACACTTTTTCTGGGATAAGAAACATGGTATTTCCAGTCTCTTGCGGTGCTCTGGCATGGATGGTATAATTTAGCATACCTGGAGTACTTCGCTATATTTATGTTATATAAAATGCTGCAGTAAATAAATATGTAAAACCTGTAATTTAGCACTGTTTGCAAATGGCACCGTTGTATCAACCACATTTCGGGTGGACATTAGGATGTCAATTATACAACCAAGTTCAAGGACATGAATGACCAGAAAAATTCAAAATGTGATGCTAAACTTACGATTTGCTCGCTAATTCTAACTCGCAATCTCGATTGTTCGTTATAAGCAGATGCCGCTTTATCAAAATCTTATATTAACCGCAACACAGCAATGCAGTTCCCTGTAAACGGTTATTTTAGGAACCTTTCACACACACACATACGCCCCATTGCACATTATACTAAAGTTGTGTAAGGCTTTTCATAGTAAAATATCACAAAAGGCGGGTTTAGGACGGGTCGACAAATAAGTCTTGTGTGTGCGGGGATGAAAACGGGCAACGTCCTTGCGGGGAATCTTGGCGATGCCGGCATCTAGCGCCTCCTCTAAAAGTTCTACCTTTACATCCTCTTTGAGACTTTAGTTTCTGAATCCCTTCTGCACTAAATTATTAACCCACCTTACTGTTATCTTATAATGAGTAAACTTGACTCATTATTCTTTCAAATTCTCACACGCACCATAAGACAATCATGATCAAGACAAGCAAGGAAACCAGAGGGGTCAACAGTGTGGGTGTGGCAGTGACACTTGGACGGTCCCCGTGACACTTGATATTGCCAAACCTTCCTCATCTTCCTCCTCCTGCTTCTCGTGCTCCTCCTCGTCGCCCCTCCCCCCCCTACACCCGCCTTTCTTGTGAGTGTTTTTGTTTGTTGATGGATACGGTAGTTTGACGTCGCAGCCCCGGGCGTTATAGTCATATTTACCTTTACCTTATTTACCAAATGGCCACCCACTAGAGGAGGACACGCCGAGGGAAGGAGGCCAGTGGCCTGTGTAGGGTCCCTCCATTATTCTCGATAATCTTGTCGAGGGCTATTGTGAAGCCCCGTACTGGTAGACCGTTCCACCGATCTACCACCTGTATGAAGAGGTATTTCCTTAAGCTCGTTCTGCATGATAACTTGGCGAGATTGAAGTTATGTCCCCTCGTGTTGAACAGTTAGGGAAGGGAAGGTTAAGCTAACACCGTTTAGGATAGGATAGAGTAGATTAAGTTATAGTTGGTCACATAAGGAAACATTAAATCCAAAACATTCCGTGCTTGGCTAGCGGTAAGAAGAAAATTAATGAGTGATAAACTGGGTCTCTATTAACATCACTTTATATTTTTATTGTAATCGCTGATTTATAAATTATCGGGAGAATCTGAGTTCCCTAAAAAAAAAAAATCAAGATATAGCCTTCATTTTTTCAATGGAAATTTTGGATATGTTAAAGGAAAAGCATAATTTCTAAACAAGTTCTATTATAAAACATGAACTCTTCTGGACTGTTATTTCCATGCATTAAACAATGGAATAAGTTATATAATTTCCACTGGAACTTTGGTATCCAGATATTTTATTTTATGGAACCACCGAAAATATTATTCAAAATTCTGTGGTCTAACGAAAAAAAACATATAATGATATTAACTTCTGAACTAAGGAAGAATCGTGTTTGCGTGGATAATCTACAACTTTTCCATGGATGTTACATAATAAATACATCTTTTTCGTCTTCTAACAGTGGGCCATGACAAAAAAAGAACCTATGAGTCTTAATAGGAGAAACATTACACATATATTTAAAATTCAAAGAACGCTACTTAGAAGGCTTACTAAATTACAACCGAGGTATTCCTGTGAGCAGGAGTAGATATGTCTATCACGGTGGTGGTCGTATCAGGTGACTCACAAGACAGGTCAGTCTCAGGAGTAATGTGGTGTGATACGTTCCAACACTAAGCTGCGATTGACACCAACATCCCATGGGTCCCCAGACACTGTCGATACCGATGAAGGTTTTGTCGACTTCTTCTCAACACCAAGTGTTCATGTGAGACAGGGATAACCAGTATTTTGAAGACTCTTTACTCCTCCGACTCGGGTAACGGCAGCGCTAAATACTCCTCTCCGCTTGAGTGAGTCCACTACACGGAAAGCCAGGCCCGACTGTGTGGCGACCTCGTGTCCCACACACCGTTATAGACCACCAAAACACCCACTCCATAAACCTAACACCTCGATAACCTCACCACGTCTACAAAATATTTGACCATGGTCATCCAACATGTCTCTGACCCGAGGGACCTGCGATGAATATCTAAGTTATTTTTATGTTTAGGACAAGAACCAGTAGAACCTCCATACATTTAGTAGAGGTTGCTGGATCATGTCATAACTAATACAATTAGTGAAATTTTTGATTAACGTTAGTAATCAACTACTGTTAGCCTCTGGACTCAATACTCTGTCAACACAAATGCTAAAATTGTTGAAGTGCATAATGTTGCCTCACCCCTAACGGATAATAGCTACTGACGAGCGCGAGGATATAGTTAACTGTTGCATTTTGTTTTTATTGTTCATTCACCTGAAGAATTGAAAAGAATAAGACTCGTATAACTGGTAGATCCTTTATTCTTTCCAAGTACAGGGAAACAGGACTTACCCAGATAGGTCATAGGCATGGGTAACTTTCTACAGCTAATACCACCATCCTTCAAAAGAAGAACCTAGCACCGTAAACCGAGGAAAAACAAATCTACATGTATGAGGGTGAAGCTGTATCCACAAAACACGCATTATACGTAAGGTTAAAGCCAATCATGAGTTACTTGAGGGCTCGATAAGTACAAGAAAATAGTTCTAAGATAACCCACCACCTCTTCTAGAGTTTTCTATCCCCCGCAAGCTGATCCTCATCTTCCAGACATAACCTTGTAAACTTCCACACAACCAGGGACTGCTAGGGCGGCTAATCCCAGACATGGAAATCCGTTACTGATTGACTATGCTCCAGGGCACTTTGATAGAACAAACGTCACAACTGTAATGCATGCCGAACATTTGTCAATTCTGGGAATGATGTTTTGTAAATAGCAAAGTAAAGATTATTATAAAATTTACTTAATGTACGCAGGGCCGGATTCACCTAGTTGTGGGCCCCAGGCCAAACTCATTAGTGGGCCCCAAATTTATAGAAATGTTTGCATGTTTCAATGATCAATATATATATATATTATATATATATATATATATATATATATATATATATATATATATATATATATATAATCAACGACCTCACCAGCCAGGTAGCGTTCCCTAGTCCCACCCAGTAGGTCGAGGGTTCGATTCCTGGCTGGTGAGGTCGTTGATTATATGTTCAAAGTCCGCGTGTTATATGGACTAAAAATGATGTATATATATGGTACCTCGTGTTTCATACCAGCTGGATTCGGTAAAATGCTACTGACACCACATACGAGGCACGGGCAGTTCCCAATGAGGTTCACGGCGCCATCAGCTCGATGAACAGGCTTTGTGTGAAATATAACAGAGTCTAGAACTGCTTTTAGTGTCCTTGTGGCCTAGCCGGTAAGCGTTCCCTAGTCACACCCAGTAGGTCGAGGGTTCGATTCCTTGCTGGTGAGGTCGTTGATTATATGTTCAAAGTCGCGTGTTATATGGACTAAAAATGAAGTATATATATGTACCTCGCGTTTCATACCAGCTGGATTCGGTAAAATGCTACTGACACCACATAAGAGGCACGGGCAGTTTCCCAATGAGGTTCACGGCGCCATCAGCTCGATGAACAGGCTTTGTGTGAAATATAACAGAGTCTAGAACTGCTTTTAGTGTCCTTGTGGCCTAGCCGGTAAGCGTTCCCTAGTCCCACCCAGTAGGTCGAGGGTTCGATTCCTTGCTGAGGTCGTTGATTATATGTTCAAAGTCCGCGTGTTGATATATATATATATATATATATATATATATATATATATATATATATATATATATATAAATTTTACTGTAATTATTTTGCAATGGCCAAATGTCATCAAATATTACATAATATCATAATATTATAATGTACTGAACGTATGACACGTACTGAACGTGAAACGATCCTGTCCTTCACACGTCAAGGCGCTGAAGATTCTTTTAACTTTATTCTCTCTCTCTCTCTCCAGTATATATGTATGTATAGATAGATAGATAGATAAATAGATAGATAGATAGATAGATAGATCGATGGTGGGACACGGACATTTAAAAAATGTATATATATTTTTTTATTCTTATTTTATCTCATTTTCTTCATTTTACTATAGGGCCTAGTCCGTGGCCCACCTGAGAACCACCCCATGGCCCACC